TTTGTCCTGTTTTCTCTTCTGCTTCTTCTCTTCTTTTCTGTGCCCTCTTTTTTCTGTTTCTTTCTGTCCCTTTTTCCCTTTGCGGTTCCTCGGGGGTTTAGCGGGGGCTCCTTTTTTGGATTTCTTCCGCATCTCTCTTTATTCTAATATTGTTTTTTATTTCTTATTTGATGAATCGTCCCACCTTTCCCCTAAACCTCCTCCCTCCAGGTATGGGTCCATTTGCCCCCCCCCCCCCCTTGAAAATCGTGCCAGTTCCTCCTGTTAGCGGGCCTGAAAACCCCAGCGTCAAGACCAACACGCTGTTCCCCCCAGGCGGAGCGCGTCACCCGGGGCGCCACGAAACTCTTGAAAACACTTCGGAATAAGCGTTGCATCAATGTTCCCCCTGGAAACCAAAGCAGGCTCTCTCAGCCGGGCCACCTCTCTCATCACCCCCTCGCCCCACCGGGTCTGCCCTGCCCTGTGGTGCTGGGGAAGACTTATTGGGTTTTATAACGGAGAAACCTGATTTTTGAGGGGCAACTAGTATTCCTGACTCTTGTGACGGGTGAAGTGTGTGGGGGGGGGGGAAAAGGGGGGTGTATTGTGTCTGGCCCCCCCCCCCCCCCCTCCAAAACCAAAACTTTTTTCTCTCGGGTCCGGGCCGAAACCGGGTGGGGAAAGGGAGCGGGGGCAGCGGGGGGGGGGCGCTGGTAGATTTGACGTCTCGGAGGGGGCCGGGTTTCCTGGAGGACTGTGTTTTATAGGGGTAACATCCCCTCATTGGTTCACTGCTGGGGCAGTGTCGCTCCCCCACACACGGGAAACCTCCCCTGCCCAGGAGACCCCCCAAACCCTCACCTGGCCAATGCGTCTACACCTGTCACGGTACGGGTGGGGGGGGGTGGAACCGTGTTTGGGGGGTAGAGGGGGTGGGGGGATGAGAGGTGGGGGTGGGGGGATGAGGGTTTTTGTTGGGGGGGGTGGGTGTTTGGGGTGGGGGGTGGTTGTGTTTTTGGGGGGGGGTTTTTTTGTTTTGGGGTGGGGTGTGTGGGTGGGGTGGGTGTGTGTGTGGTGGGGGTGGTGTGGTTTTTGGGGGTCCGGGTTTTTTTGGGGTGGGTGTGTGTGGTGGGGGGTTGGGGGGTGTTTGGGGGGGGCTCCGGGTGTGTGTTTTCCCCGTTTTTGGTGGGGGCTCCTTTGTCGGGGGTGTGGTTTTTTTTCTCCGGGTTTTTTTTTTGGGGGCTCCCTTTTTTTTTTTGGGGGCTCCCGGTGTGGGTGGTGGGGGTCCCGCCCGGTGGTGTGGTGGGGGCTCGCGGTGTGTGGGGGGGGTTTTGGGGGCTCGCGGGGTGGGTGGGGGGGGGCTCGCGGGGTTTGGGGGGGGGGTCGCGGGTGTTTGGTGGGGCTCCCCGGTGGGGGGGGGGGGGTGGGTGGGGGGGCTCGCGGTGTTGGGTGGGGTCGCGGGTGTGTTGGGGGTGGGGGCTCGCCCGGGGGTGTGGGTGGGTTTGTGTGGTGGGGCTGCGGTGTGGGGGTGGGGGCTCGCGGGTGTGGTGGGGGCTGCGGGTGTTTGGTGGGGGGCCCCGGGGGGTGGTGGGGGTCGCGGTGGGTTGGGTGGGGGGTCGCGGGTGTGTGTGGGGGGGGCCCCCGGGGGTTGTGGGGGGGCTCGGGGGTGTGGTTTTGTGGGGCCGCGGTTTGTGGGGGGGCTCCCGGTGTGTGTGTGGGGGGCCGCGGTTGGTGGTGGTGGGGGCCGCGGTGGGGGTTTGTTGGGGTCGCGGGGGGTGTGGGGGTCGCGGGTTGGGGGGGTGGGGGCTCCCCCGGGGTTGTGTGGGGGGGGGCCCCGGTGTTTGTGGTGGGGGCTCGCGGGTGGTTGGGGGGGGTCCCGGTGTGGTGGGGGGCTCGGCGGTGTGGTGGTGGGGCTCGCGGGGTGTGTGGTGGGGGTCCCCGGGGGGGTGGTTTGGGGGTGCGGTTTTGGTGGGGGCCGGGTGTGGGGGTTTGGGGGGGGGGTTTGGGGGGGTGGGGCTGGGGGTGTGTGTGGTGGGGGTGGGTGGGTGGGGCTCGGGGGTTGTGGTGGGGGCTCGCGGGGGTGTGGTGGGGGGTCCGGTGTGTGTTTTCTCCGGGGTGTGTTGGGGGTGCGGTTTGTGGGTGGGGGCTGCGGGGGGTGTGGGGGGCTCCCCGGTTGGGGGGTGGGCTCGCGGTGGTGGTGGGGGGTCGCGGTGGGGTGTGGTGGGGGCTCGCGGGTTGTGGGTGGGGGCTGCCGGGTGTGTGGTGGGGTCCGGGGTGGTGGTGGGGGCTGGGTGTTGTGGGGGTTTGGGGTGGTGGGGGCTCGCGGTTTGTGTGGTGGGGGCTGGGGTTTTGGGGTGGTTGGGGGCTCGCGTTGTTGGGGGGGTCGCGGGTGTGTGTGGTGGGGCTTTGGGTGTTTGGGGGTGGGGGTCCGGGTGTTGGTGGGGGTCCGGTGGGTGGGGGTTGGGGGGGGGTCCCGGTTTGGTTTTTGGGGGGGGTGGGGGGTGGTTTTGGGTGGGGCTCGGGGTTGGTGGGGGGGGGCTCGCGGTGGGTGGTGGGGCTGGGTGTGTGGGGTTTTGGGGGCTCCGGGGGTTTTTGGTGGGGGTCGGGTTTTGGGGTGGGGGGGGCTCGCGGGTGTTTGGTGGGGCTCGGGTGGGTGGTGGGGGCTCGCGGGGTGTGTGGGGGGGGTGGGGTTGGTGGGGGGGGCTCCCCGGGTTTGTGTGGTGGGGCTCGCTTTTTTGGGGGTGGGGCTCGCGGTGGTGTGTGGGGGCTCGCGGGGTTTGGGGGGGTCGCGGTGTGTGTGGTGGGGGCCCCCGGGTTGGGGGGTTGTGGGCTCGCGTTTGTGTGGTGGGGTCGCGCGGTAGTGGGTGGGGGCCCCGGGTGGGGGTTGGGGGGCCCCGCGGTGTTGTGGTGGGGCCGCGGTGTGTGTGGGGGGGCTCCCCCGGGGGGTGGTGGGGGCTCCGGGTGTGTGGTGGGGGCCGCGGTGTGTGTGGTGGGGGCTCGCCGGTGGGTGTGGGGGGGCTCGCGTGGGGGTGGTGGGGGTCGCGGGGGGGGTGTGGGGGGGGGGCTCGCGGGGGGTGTGGGGGGGGCTTTTCCGGGGTGTGTGGTGGGCTCGGGGGGTGGGGTTTTGGGGGGGGGGGTGCGCTGGGGGTGGGGTGCGCGGTGTGTTTGGTTGGGGTCCCGGGTGGGGTGGTGGGGGGGCGGGGGGGTTGGTGGGGGCTCCGGGGGGTTTTGTGGTGGGGGGCTCCCGGTGGGTGGGGGGCTCCGCTGTTGGTTTGGGTGGGGCCGCGCGGGGTGTGTTGGGGCTCGGGTTTTTGGGGGCTCCCGGGGTTTTCGGTTCCCCGGGTTTGGGGTTCTGGGGGGTGTTGGGGTCCCTTTTTTGGGGGGGCCCTTTTTGGTTTCCCGCGGGTTTGGTTTGGGGCTCCGGGTTTGGTGGGGGGGGGCCCCCCTTTGGGGGGTGCCCTTTTTGGGGGAAAAATTTGGTTTTTTTGGGGGTCCCCTTTTTTCCCCGTGGTGTTTCTCCCCCCCCCCCCCCCTTAAAAGGTTTTTTCGCCTTTTTTTTCTTAAATTTTTTGGTTTCCCTTTTTTTTGGGGCCCTTGGGTTTTTCCCCCCCCTTTTTTTTTTGGGGGAAAAAAAAGTGAATGGGCTACGCCTTGGTCTTTTTTCCCCATGTGGGGGCAACCCCCCCCCCTTTTTTAAACCCTGGTTGGTTCCTTTTTTTTGGGGGTTCGGGTTTTTTTGGGGTTTTTCCCCTTTTTTTGGTGGGGGGCCCTTGTTGGAAAAAATTTTTTTCCCTTTCCCTTTTTTCGGCCGGGGTTTTTTGGTGGTTCCGGGTTTTGTTCTGGGGGAATTTCCCTTTTTTTGGGGGTTTTTTGCCCTTTTTGCGGGCAAACCCTTTTGGTTTCGTAAAAACTCCAAAAAAAAATAAAAGACTTTTTTTGGGGCCCCTAGCTTTTTCCCCCCTTTTTTTTTAAATTTTGGGTTCCCTTTTCCCAAAATTAAATTTTAAAAAATTCTTTTATGGCTTCCTTTTCCCCCCCCCCTCCCTGCCCCCCCCCCCCCCCTCCCTCCCCAAAAGGGGAAAGGGGTTGAAAAAAAAAAAAACAACTTCCGTTTCAGATCCCCCTTTTTTTTCCCGGGGGCCCCCCGCCCCTTTTGGGATGGAAAAAGGGGAAGTTTTCCCCCGAAAATGTAGTTTAGGTCACCAAAAGTACCAACATTTTACTATGCGTGGAAAGGGTCCACCCCGATGGTAAAGCTGCATTTCTTTCTCTCTCCATGTTACGTTGTATGCATCCTAGCTCCTCGTTTACAATATGAAAAGTGAATGGGAAACAAAGTTTGACGTTTCCTGGCCTGTGTCTTTAAAAACAAAAATAATAATAATTGAAAGCCCTGATTGCTAAAGGTAGGCAGGACAGGCCCATTTTGGTGATTTCTGCTATATCATCAAAATAAATCAATCACAGCACGTCTTTGGACTCATTCAGCAGTTTTTACCTGATTTAAGTACAATACCATTGGAAATTAATGTTGAAAGTTCCATTTTATAGTCCTGAAACTTAAGTTAAATGATGCTGTCACTGCTTCCTGTTGACAAGACATATTGATAAATAGCCCAATGTCAAAACACTGTTTTAAAGTGCAGAACCAGTTTGTGATATGTTGAAAACCTAAACATAAATTAAATGTACTATCTCTACATACAGGACCAATGGTAATCATATTACCTGGATTATTTTAAACGAGCACCTTATAAACTGCACACGCACTTTTGACAAGTGGCAATAAATCACTCATCGATTTAGAGGGGATATGTACTGTTGATACACCACAACTCAGAAACAACATGGAAACTGGAGATATTGTTACATCACTGGTTAGAGGACAACCTGCAGAACATGGCTGATCTCTCTCTCTCTCCCTCCCCCCACCACCACTAATGTATCAGAATGTCGTTGCCCACCTTTACTTGTCCATTTGTCTTTATGGCTGATCTCTCCCTCCTCCCTCCCTCCAGGAGTTGAACACTAACTTCCGTCAGATCATCTTCCCGGAGGCTCTGCGCTGCATGTTGAAGGGAGAGGCGACCCTAGAGACCATGCTGTCTGAGCTGGACCTCTTAGTGGAGCAGTGTGCAGACGGGGTCTCCCTGCAGGGGCTGGCCGACGCCCTGCACACACACCTCCGCAGCGCCGCCATGGGCCTGGAGCACGAGGCAGACACACACTGTCTCCACATCACCAGGTTAGGACAGGGGAACACACTGTCTCCACATCACCAGGTTAGGACAGGGGAACACACTGTCTCCACATCACCAGGTTAGGACAGGGGAACACACTGTCTCCACATCACCAGGTTAGGACAGGGGAACACACACTGTCTCCACATCACCAGGTTAGGACAGGGAACACACTGTCTCCACATCACCAGGTTAGGACAGGGAAACACACTGTCTCCACATCACCAGGTTAGGACAGGGGAACACACACTGTTCTCCACATCACCAGGTTAGGACAGGGAACACCTGTCTCACATCACCAGGTTAGGGGACAGGGACACACTGTCTCCACATCACCAGGTTAGGACAGGGAACACACACTGTCTCCACATCACCAGGTTAGGGACACTGTCTCCACATCACCAGGTTAGGACAGGGAACACACTGTCTCCACATCACCAGGTTAGGACAGGGAACACACACTGTCTCCACATCACCAGGTTAGGACAGGGGGGAACACACTGTCTCCACATCACCAGGTTAGGACAGGGACACACTGTCTCCACATCACCAGGTTAGGACAGGGGGGGAACACACTGTCTCCACATCACCAGGTTAGGACAGGGGAACACTGTCTCCACATCACCAGGTTAGGACAGGGGGGAACACTGTCTCCACATCACCAGGTTAGGACAGGGGAACACACTGTCTCCACATCACCAGGTTAGGACAGGGGGGAACACACTGTCTCCACATCACCAGGTTAGGACAGGGGGGAACACAGGTAGTAGGGTTAGTAGTAACTGGTTATGTTATATGTGATGTTTATTGTAGGATGTTGCGGGCCCAGTACTCTCAGCTGATGCAGCCTCCAGGGGGCGGTGTGGACTCAGCAGGACAGGACTCTCCTAAGATGTCTGCCGGTCAGATGCTGCTGGTGGCCTTCGATGGCATGTTTGCTCAGCTCGAGACCGCCTTCGGGCAGCTCACAGAGAAGGTAACACGCACTTCCTCAATCTCTTTCCTCTGTCTCACCCCTCTCTTCCTCAATCTCTTTCCTCTGTCTCACCCTCTCTTCCTCAATCTCTTTCCTCTGTCTCACCCTCTCTTCCTCAATCTCTTTCCCCTGTCTCACCCTCTCTCTTCCTCAATCTCTTTCCTCTCTGTCTCACCCTCCTTTCTTGCTCTTACTCTTACGCTCAATCTCTTTCATCTTAAACTCTCATCTTTGTGTCTCTGGTCCCATCTTGTTATTCCTCTTCACTCCACATTCCATGTGTTTGTCATGTCTATATGTCACTTAACTCTCGTCTTTCCTCTCTTCTCACTCCCCTGTCTTCCACTTCTATTATCTGTTATTTAACTCTCCTCCCCTCCCCTCCCCTCCCCTCCCCTCCCCTCCCCCCTCCCCTCCCCTCCCCTCCCTCCTCCCCTCCCCTCCCCTCCCTCCCCTCCCCTCCTCCCCTCCCTCCCCTCCCCTCCCTCTCTCCCCTCCCCTCCCCTCTCTCCCCTCCCCTCTCTCTCCTCCCCTCGTCTCTCCTCCCCTCTCCTCCCCTCTCTCCCCTCCCTCTTCCTCCCCTCCCCCCCCTCCCCTCCCCTCCCCTCTCTCTCCTCCCCTCTCCCCCTCTCCTCTCCCTCCCTCTCCTCCCCTCCCCTCTCCTCCCCTCCCTCTCCTCCCTCCCTCTCCTCCCCTCCCTCTCCTCCCCTGCTCTCCCCTCCCTCGTCTCCCTCCCTCTCCTCCCCTCTCCTCCCTCCCTCTCCCCTCCCTCCCCTCCTCCTTCTCCTCCCCTCTCTCTCCTCCCTCCCCTCTCTCCTCCCCTCTCCTCCTCCCCTCCCTCCCTCTCTCCCCTCCCTCTCCTTCCCCTCTCTCCCCTCCCTCTCCTCCCCTCTCTCCCTCCCTCTCCTCCCCCTCATCTCCCCTCCCTCTCCTCCCCTCTCTCCCTCCCTCTCCTCCCTCCTCCCTCCCCTCCCCCTCTCCTCCCCTCCCTCTCCTCCCCTCCCCTCCCCCTCTCTCTCCTCCCTCCCCTCTCTCCTCCCCTCTCGTCCTCCCCCTCTCCTCCTCCCTCTCTCCCCTCCCTCTCCTCCCCTCTCTCCCCTCCCCTCCTCCCCTCTCTCCCTCCCTCTCCCTCCCCTCTCCCCTCCCCCCCTCCCCTCTCCTCCCCTCTCCCCTCCCCCCCTCCCCTCTCTCCTCTCCTCTCCCCTCCCCTCCCCTCTTCCTCCCCTCCCCTCTCCTCTCCTCCCTCTCCTCCCCTCTCTCCACTCCCTCTCCTCCCCTCCCTCGTCCTCCCCTCTCTCTCTCTCCTCCCCTCTCTTCTTTTTCCTCCCCTCCCCTCTCTTCTTTCTCCTCCCCTCCCCTCTCTCTCTCCTCCCCTCTCTCTCCTCCCCTCCCCTCTCTCCTCCTCTCCCCTCCCTCTCCTCTCCACTCCCCTCCCCTCTCCCCTCCCCCTCCCCTCCCCTCCCCTCTCCCCTCCCCTCCCCTCCCCTCCCCTCCCCTCCCCTCCCCCTCCCCTCCCCTCCCCTCCTCTCCCCTCCCCTCCCCCTCCCCTCCCCTCTCCTCCCCTCCTCCTCCCCCTCCCTCCCTCCCCTCTCTCTCTCTCCTCCCCTCTCTCTCTCTCCTCCCCTCTCTCTCTCCTCCCTCCCCTCTCTCCTCCTCCCTCTCCCCTCCCCTCTCTCTTCCCTCTCTTCCCCCTCTCTCTCCCTCCCCTCTCTTCCCCCTCTCTTCTCCGCCCCTCTCTCTCCTCTCTCTTCTCCTCCCCCCCTCTCTCTCTCCCCCCCCCCCCCCTCTCTCTCTCCCCCCCTCCCTCTCTCTCCCCTCTCTCTCTAGATGATTTCTATGGAGGTGCCACCGGCGTGGCGGAAGGTAGATGTGATGCGTGAGGCGCGGGCTGCCCAGGTGCATTTCTTCCACAGCGGTCCTCACAGACATGTTCTGGAAGAGATCTTCTTCCTCAAGAGGCTCCAGACCATCAGGGAGTTCTTCAGGCTCTGTGGATCCTTCGCTCAGACACTCTCTGGTGAGAACACTGATGGGTTTCTAGTCTCTGTGTCTCTCTCTGTGTGTCTCTCTCTCTCTCTCTGAGTTCAATTTCAATTTAAGGGCTTTATTGGCATGGGAAACATATCCATACAGTTACATATCAGGATATTATTTTTGACAATATATGCTACAGTTTTGACTATCGCAATATTATGTTTTGCTGTAGGTGGCTGTACCTGCACCAGAACTCCATTATGTTTCCTTCATAGCTTGTTCTCCATCTTTTTAAATAGAGCCTATTGGTTTTCAGCACTTTTATTTCTATGACTGATCAAAACCTGTTTTCTCATGGCTCTCTCTAGTCCCTCTGCAGCAGATACATACTGAGCAGTATGTTTGGAACATCGAATCGCAATAAAATCACTATCGGATAGCAATCCATATAGAATCGTGAAAATCGCAACACATATCGTATCACAAAAATGTATGCACGCATGACCAAGTCGCTTTGGATAAAAGCGTCTGCTAAATGGCATATTATTATTATTATTATTATTATGATAATATCGTATCGTGAGGTCCCTGACAATTCGCTGCCCTATGAAATGGTATCTCAAACATTGTATACAGTGAGTTTGACCCTCTCCTTCTCCCCCCTCCCTCCCCAGGTACGTGCCCCCCAGCGGCTGAGGACCCGCCTCCCTCCAACGGCCCTGTAGCGTTAGGGGTTCCGGCGGGTGTAGGTCTACCGGGGAAGTTCCGGGGGTCGTCGGGCGCGGCGGTGGTAGTGAGCGAAGAGCAGATGACCCGGCCCATCAAGGCGTTCACAGCAGAGTTTGTCCGTCAGATGCTGATGGGTCTTCCCACCCAGACCCTGGGTCTGGCTCTCTGCAGCACCCTGTCTGCCCTGGGTCTGGACCTTACGGCACAGGTGGAGGCCAAGGACTTTGGAGCCGACGGCAAGGTAGGAAGGAGGTCCCTGTGCTGTTGCCTATATACTTGATTGATCAAATGTTATATTGTCTTCATACATTTTTGTTCTGTCCTGATTTTTAAACTAAAATGTGAAATTGTTAATTGTCCAGGTGTCGTTAGATGAGTTGTGTAAGCAGACGGTGGTGCAGGGTCTGGGTGCAGGGCGTCTGTCTCAGCTGCTACTGAACAGAGGTACGGTGCTGGCGTCATCCTACGACACGGCCTGGAAGAAACTGGACCTACTCAGACGCTTGGAGGCCAGCCTCGACGCTGCCAAGGTCTCCCTGCAACGCACCCAGCTACACATCACCATGTTCCAGGTGAGAGGAGTGTGTGTGTGTGTTAACCCTGTCCTATCTCCTGTGTATTCCAGTGGCAGCATGAGGACGTGATAGGTCCTAGGAGTTGTATGGGGGGATAATCCACTCCCAGAAATAAAAATCATGAAACTCCTGTCAATTTGGTAAAAGCCTATGTTCTATCAGTGGGTAAAATAACAGATTTTCCCATTATTTAACTTCTAAGTGTTCCGTCTGAGAAATCAGGAAATTGTGTAGGAACGTGTCATAGCTACACTATATATACAAAAGTATGTGGACACCCCTTCAACCCGATTTTCAACGTGGCACCGTCATAGTATGCCACATATCCAACAAGTCAGTTCATCTAATTTCTGCCCTGCTAGAGCTGCCCCGGGCAACTGTAAGTGATGTTATTGTGAAGTGGAAACGTCTAGGAGACACAACAGCTCAGCCACAAAGTGGTAGGCCACACAAGCTCACAGAACGGGACCGCCGAGTGCCTAAAAATCGTATGTCCTCGGTTGCAACACTCACTGCCGAGTTCCAAACTGCCTCTGGAAGCAACGTCAGCACAATAACTGTTAGTCGGGAGCTTCATGAAATGGGTTTCCATGGCCGAGGAGCCGCACACAAGCTAAAGAACACCATGCGCAATGCCAAGTGTCGGCTGGAGTGGTTGGAAGCTCGCCGCCATTGGACTCTGGAGCAGTGGAAACGTGTTCTCTGGGGTGATGAATCACGCTTCACCATCTGGAAATCCGACGGACGAATCTGGGTTTGGCGGATGCCAGGGGAACGCTACCTGCCCCAATGCATAGTGCCAACTGTAAAGTTTGGTGGAGGAGGAATAATGGTCTGGGGCTGTTTTTCATGGTTCGGGCTAGGCCCCTTTAATTCCAGTGAAGGGAAATCTTAACACTACAGCATACAATGACATTCTAGACGATTCTGTTCTTCCAACTTTGTGGCAACAGTTTGGGGAAGGCCCTTTCCTGTTTCAGCATGACAATGCCCCTGTGCACAAAGCGAGGTCCATACAGAAATTGTTTGTCGAGATCAGTGTGGAAGAACTTGACTGGCCTGCACAGAGCTCTGACCTCAACCCCATCGAACACCTTTGGGATGAATTGGAACGCCGACTGCGAGCCAGGCCTAATCGCCCAACATCAGTGCCTGACCTCACTAATGCGCTTGTGGCTGAATGGAAGCAAGTCCCCGCAGCAATGTTTCATCATCTAGTGGAAAGCCTTCCCAGAAGAGTGGAGGCTGTTATAGCAGCAAAGGGGGGGACCAACTCCATATGAATGCCCGTGATTTTGGAATGAGATGTTTTGGTCGTGTAGTGTACATGGTCACTGGAGATGGGGATAACACTATCACATTTCATAACGCTTTTAAAACCATTACCTTCACACCAGATTGCTATATCAGCCTATAGATAGAATGGGCATACTGGTCTAGAACACATTCCTCTGTTTATATCCTCATGATGAAGTAGCTATTTATTTGTGTGTCTGTGAGAAAGGGCCCTTGCTGCCATGGCAACATACTCTGCACTCACTCTGGGTAGCAGAGTTGCACATTTGTTTTTACAGCTAGCTAGCTACTTCACATGCTGATATTGACTCTGGTATTATATTGTGTGGAGCTGTGTTTGCTAGCTAGCCAGCCCAGAGAGAGCATTGCATTGTGGGTTTCGTAGTTGACTTAAGCTTCGACAGATTTCCGCAACGATTTTCACTTGTTGCTACCAACCTTGTTATAACGACAAAATTAAATATTCGTTAACAAAAAATATTTTCACACATTAGTGTTATTTAACACTGTTTAACACGGTTAGTGGTTTGGGGTGGATTTATCCCTTTAACCCTGTCCTACCTCTGTGTATTCCAGTGGCAGCATGAGGACGTGATAGGTCCTAGGACCCAGCCAATGAGTGTGAGCCCTCCGCCTCGCGCCATCATCCTCAGTAGTATGAAGAAGAAGCTTTACAAACTCAGCCAGGACGAGGCGGCCATTGCTGCTTTACAGGTCAGTACACAGTCATGGTGGTTTGATTACTCATCACCAATCTGTTAACCTTGATAGCTAACTAGACCATTACTCTTAACTACTCCAGTAAATAAAATGCTCTCTTTCTCTGTCTAGTCCTTTTAATGAATGTGTAGCTGTTTCTTTAATGAATCTCTCCTCTCCCCGCCTGCAGGAGAAGCTGGCATCACTAGAGGGCAGTATAGAGCAGCGTCTGAAGTGGGCCGGCGGGGCCAACCCTGCCCTGGCCCCGGTTCTCCAGGACTTTGATCAGACCATCGCAGAGCGCCGCGCCCTAGTGGCCCGGGAGAGCCAGCGCACCAGCCAGGTACACCACCCCTACACTGTGCTGCATTTATGTCCCCAATGGCACTCTATTCCCTGTATAGTCCGGGTTTTCTGGAAGTACATGGAGTAGCCCACCAAATAGATTAAATAGCCAGCAAGGGAATTATGGGCAGGATTTTTTTTTTGCTTACCGAGCTCTATTTTGTTGGCTTCTTGTACATTCTAATGCCGTGATTACTGAAAATGGATGAATTCAGTGTGTTTAGTTGTTTTGGATATCGTCTAGGCCTATATGATCAGGACTATCTTCTAAGTAGTAACTTTTTTAACATTAAACCTGTCTTGAGATGAAAGTCATATTTACAGTTTTACTGCAAGATATGAAGTGCCACAATGATCATCAAATTATGTATTTTATTGGCTATGCTGCTGTGGACACTTAGGGTAAGGAAACCAATGTGCCTTTTTGTAATTTGGGTTGAACTATCCCTTTAACAGTTTGGCCTGTCAATCATTTACTGTGGCTGGGATTGTCAGGGGATGGGGCAGGATGTTTGAGTCACAGAGTTGGTAGAGTTTCAGACCTGTCAATCAAACCACTGTGGGTGGGACTTTGAGGGAAGGCGGTAGATTAGTAATCTAGTCAGAAAAACTAGTCGACTCTTTCAATTTAGTCCGTATATAGCCTTGTGTTCTGTCAAGTAAACTTAGATTCCCTATTGAGAAACAATATACACTGAACAAAAATATCAATGCAACATGTAAAGTGATGGTCCCATGTTTCATGAGCTGAAGTAAAAGATCTGACATTTTCCATACGCACAAAAAGCTTATTTCTCATATTTTGTGCACAAATTAGTTTACATCCCTGTTAGTAAACGTTTATCCATTGCCAAAATATTCCATCCACCTGACAGGTGTGGCATATCAAGAAGCTGATTAAACAGCATGATCATTACACAGGTGCACCTTGTGCTGGGGACAATAAAGGCCACTCTAAAATGTGCAGTTTTGTCTCACAACACAATGCCACAGATGTCTCAAGTTTTGAGGGAGCAGTGCAATTGGCATACTGACTGCAGGAATGTCCACCAGAGCTATTGCCAGATAATTGAATTTTCATTTCTCTACTACAACGTCGTTTCAGAGAATTTGGCAGTATGTCCAACCGGCCTCACAACCGCAGACCACGTGTATGGCGGCGTGGGGCAAGCGGTTTGCTGATGTCAACGTTGAGACCAGAGTGCCCAATGGTGGCGGTTGGGTTATGGTATGTGCAGGCATAAGCTACGGACAACAAACACAATTGCATTTTATCAATGGCAATTTGAATGCACAGAGAGACCGTGACGAGATCCTGAGGCCCATTGTCGTGCCATTCATCTGGCGCCATCACCTCATGTTTCAGCATGATAATGCACGCAAGGATCTGTACAAAATTCCTGGAAGCTGAAAATGTCCCAGTTCTTCCATGGCCTGCATACTCACCAGACGTGTCACCCATTTGAGCAGAATTGCAGGAAAAATACATTTAAAATGCAAAAGATTCAGGGGGAGGACCCCCCCAGACCCCCCGCCATATCATGCACTCTTACTTTTATGCAGAGTCAGGCCCCATGACTAGACCTACAGGTATGACTGAAGAATGAAGAGGGTGTTAAGCATGGGCTTTGCTTCATGAAGCAGGTGTTAAACATGGGCTTTGCTTCATGAAGCAGGTGTTAAACATGGGCTTTGCTTCATGAAGCAGGTGTTAAACATGGGCTTTGCTTCACAGAAAGCAGCAGTTGACTACTCTCTTGTCAACACTTTAATCAAATCAGTAGGCCAATATCAATATCCTTAATATTACCATATACAGTGGGGGGAAAAAAGTATTTAGTCAGCCACCATTTGTGCAAGTTCTCCCACTTAAAAAGATGAGAGGCCTGTAATTTTCATCATAGGTACACGTCAATTATGACAGACAAAATGAGAAGAAAAAAATCCAGAAAATCACATTGTAGGATTTTTAATGTATTTATTTGCAAATTATGGTGGAAAATAAGTATTTGGTCAATAACAAAAGTTTCTCAATACTTTGTTATATACCCTTTGTTGGCAATGACACAGGTCAAACGTTTTCTGTAAGTCTTCACAAGGTTTTCACACACTGTTGCTGGTATTTTGGCCCATTCCTCCATGCAGATCTCCTCTAGAGCAGTGATGTTTTGGGGCTGTCGCTGGGCAACACAGACTTTCAACTCCCTCCAAAGATTTTCTATGGGGTTGAGATCTGGAGACTGGCTAGGCCACTCCAGGACCTTGAAATGCTTCTTACGAAGCCACTCCTTCGTTGCCCGGGCGGTGTGTTTGGGATCATTGTCATGCTGAAAGACCCAGCCACGTTTCATCTTCAATGCCCTTGCTGATGGAAGGAGGTTTCCACTCAAAATCTCACGATACATGGCCCCATTCATTCTTTCCTTTACACGGATCAGTCGTCCTGGTCCCTTAGCAGAAAAACAGCCCCAAAGCATGATGTTTCCACCCCCATGCTTCACAGTAGGTATGGTGTTCTTTGGATGCAACTCAGCATTCTTTGTCCTCCAAACACGACGAGTTGAGTTTTTACCAAAAAGTTATATTTTGGTTTCATCTGACCATATGACATTCTCCCAATCCTCTTCTGGATCATCCAAATGCACTCTAGCAAACTTCAGACGGGCCTGGACATGTACTGGCTTAAGCAGGGGGACACGTCTTGCACTGCAGGATTTGAGTCCCTGGCGGCGTAGTGTGTTACTGATGGTAGGCTTTGTTACTTTGGTCCCAGCTCTCTGCAGGTCATTCACTAGGTCCCCCCGTGTGGTTCTGGTATTTCTTCTCACCGTTCTTGTGATCATTTTGACCCCCACAGGGTGAGATCTTGCGTGGAGCCCCAGATCGAGGGAGATTATCAGTGGTCTTGTATGTCTTCCATTTCCTAATAATTGCTCCCACAGTTGATTTCTTCAAACCAAGCTGCTTACCTATTGCAGATTCAGTCTTCCCAGCCTGGTGCAGGTCTACAATTTTGTTTCTGGTGTCCTTTGACAGCTCTTCGGTCTTGGCCATAGTGGAGTTTGGAGTGTGACTGTTTGAGGTTGTGGACAGGTGTCTTTTATACTGATAACAAGTTCAAACAGGTGCCATTAATACAGGTAACGAGTGGAGGACAGAGGAGCCTCTTAAAGAAGAAGTTACAGGTCTGTGAGAGCCAGAAATCTTGCTTGTTTGTAGGTGACCAAATACTTATTTTCCACCATAATTTGCAAATAAATGCATAAAAAATCCTACAATGTGATTTTCTGGAAATTTTTTTCTCAATTTGTCTGTCATAGTTGACGTGTACGTATGAGAAAATTACAGGCCTCATCTTTTTAAGTGGGAGAACTTGCACAATTGGTGGTTGACTAAATACTTTTTTCCCCACTGTAAGTATCATGACATTAGCTTTTTCTAACCTTCAGTGTGTTTTCTTTGATCATATCTTGGACCACAATAAGGCTCTACTATCTATTGTTTCTGCAGTGATGATTCAACGTCTTCATCGAGTGTTTTCATAATATTATCTGCAGAGAATCGCCAAGAAGCAGTAGTAACCTACCAGTATGCAAATTAGGGAGCCAAATGAACGGCTCTCTCACCGATTCGGTTCTGTTCACCTAAAATATCAGTTCAAAATGAGGCGTTCAAAAATAACCGTTTGTTTGAACAACCCATCAATAGGCTTCACTGGCAAGTCTCGACATGGGCTTCGAATCCTAGTTAAATACAAACAAGATATTTAGTTTACGTGTCCCGACGCGATACCATGGACATATAACTACGCATGATTTATGAATAGCAAAGGGATATAGGAGATTTGAATTATTCAGTCAGTTTGGCACCTTTTTATGAACTAGTCAACGCTTGCTGTTTGGTCGTCAATCAAAGCACAGTAAATAGCCTGTTACCCGACACCCTGGGTGTGTAGGCTTTATGAAACACTCAAAATGAATGTGCCACGATGAAATAAAGCCTGTGTGTCCATGAATGCTGACGATTCAACCATATACATGTCAGCCACCACAGCTGATGAAGTCACTGAAACCCTTAACAAGGAGTTGCAGTCAGTTTTTGAATAGGTGGCCAGTAATAAACGGGTCCTGAACATCTCGAAAACTAAGAGCATTGTATTTGGTACAAATCATTCCCTAAGTTCTAGACCTCAGCTGAATCTGGTAATGAATGGTGTGGCTGTTGAACAAGTTGAGGAGACTAAATTACTTGGTGTCACCTTAGATTGTGTGTGTGGTCCTCTGTAGCTCAGCTGGTAGAGCACGGCGCTTGTAACGCCAAGGTAGTGGGTTCGATCCCCGGGACCACCCATACACAAAAATGTATGCACGCATGACTGTAAGTCGCTTTGGATAAAAGCGTCTGCTAAATGGCATATTATTATTATATTATATTGTAAACTGTCATGGTCAAAACATATAAATTCAATGGTTGAAAAGATGGGGAGAGGTCTGGCCGTAATAAAGAGAGATACTCTTGACACCACACTCCACAAAGCAAGTCCTGCAGGCTCTAGTTTTGTCTTGATTATTGTCCAGTCGTGTGGTCGAGTGCTGCAAGAAAGACCTAGTTAAGCTGCAGCTGGCCCAGAACAGAGCGGCACGTTTTGCTCTTCATTGTAATCAGAGGGCTGATATTAATACTATGCATGCCAGTCTCTATTGGCTAAGAGTTGAGGAGAGACTGACTGCATCACTTCTTTTTTTATAAGAAACATTAACGTGTTGAAAATTCCAAATTGTTTGCTTAGTCAATTTACACACAGCTCTGACACTTACCCCACCAGACATGCCACCAGGGGTCTTTTCACAGTCCCCAAATCCAGAACAAATTCAAGAAAGCGTACAATATTATATAGCGGCATTATTAAATGGAATTCCCTTCCATCTCATATTGCTCAAAAGAACAGCAAACCTGGTTTAAAGCAACACCTTACGGCACAACGCCTCTCCCCTATTTGACCTAGATATTTTGTGTGGATGTATTGGTATGTTGGCTACGTGTGCAATCTTTTAAAATTGATGTAGTTTTCTGCTTGAGCGGTTGTCTATTAAGGTTCTGTATTATGTCATGTTTCGTGTGGACCCCCGGGAAGAGTAGCTGCTGCTTTCATAACAGCTAATGGGGATCCTAATGAAATACCAAATACCACAAAACAATACGTGGATTTCAACTCATCGTTACCACGTACGTGGGACGTGTAAATTCTCTCACATGAGACGATGAAGCCACATCATGCTCTCCCTCCTCAGTGAAAATACATTTGACCGCAGCCAACCTACAGCGTACAAAAATAACACTGGTACCGAGAGGCGGGACAGAGAGCAGACTGACTAACCAGCAGTGTTTCCCTGCCATCGCTCGCTCTGTGACTGACAGGCGCCTGTCCTATCAATACAGCACTAGAAGGTGCATAGCGTTCATTCTAGCGGGAGAAGGCTATACGTACATTTCTGACTACCGAATTTAAACTTTGAAATGAAAAGAAGCCTAGTTAATTTATACAGTGGAAAAAGTAGCCGGATTACAGTTAATCTGTTATCGGCTATTTAGCCGAAGGAAGGCGCTTATGGAAAACTCCTAACTCCTGAGTGGCGCAGTGGTCTAAGGCACTGCATCGCAGTGCTAACTGTGCCACTAGAGACCCTGGTTCGAATCCAGGCTCTGTCGCAGCCGGCCGCGACCGGGAGACTCATGGGCGGCGCACAATTGGCCCAGCGTCGTCCAGGGTAGGGGAGGGAATGGCCGGCAGGGATGTAGCTCAGTTGATAGAGCATGGCGTTTGCAATGCCAGGGTTGTGGGTTCGATTCCCACGGGGGGCCAGTATAAAAAAATATGTATTCACTAACTGTAAGTCGCTCTGGATAAGAGCGTCTGCTAAATGACTAAAATGTAAAATGTAAAACATTTGTATAGTGCACATATTTTGACCAGGGCCCTGCGACGGGCCGTATGTTCAAGCTAGTAACCACGTGTTCTTCAAGCCTGGCCCTGGATAGCTATTTCTGCTGATTTAACCTTTTTTTTTTTTTTTATACGAATTTAAAATTATATCTAAACTTTATTCCAACTACCAATTGACGTTCCTCAACTTTGTCATTCCTGTTACAGGTGTTGTCCTCAACTTTATCATTCCTGTTACTAGGTGTCATCCACAACTTTATTATTCCCGTTACTAGATGTCGTCCTCAACTTTATTATTCCCGTTACCAGGTGTCGTCCTCAAATGTGTTATTCCCGTTACCAGGTGTCGTCCTCAACTTTATCATTCCAGTTACCAGGTGTCATCCTCAACTTTATCATTCCCGTTACCAGGTGTCGTTCTCAACTTTATCATTCCCGTTACCAGGTGTCGTTCTCAACTTTATCATTCCCGTTACCAGGTGTTGTCCTAAACGGTGTTATTCCCATTACCAGGTGTTGTCCTAAACGGTGTTATTCCCATTACCAGGTGTTGTCCTAAACGGTGTTATTCCCATTACCAGGTGTTGTCCTAAACGGTGTTATTCCCATTACCAGGTGTTGTCCTAAACGGTGTTATTCCCATTACCAGGTGTTGTCCTAAACGGTGTTATTCCCATTACCAGGTGTTGTCCTAAACGGTGTTATTCCCATTACCAGGTGTTGTCCTAAACAGTGTTATTCCCATTACCAGGTGTTGTCCTAAACAGTGTTATTCCCATTACCAGGTGTTGTCCTAAACAGTGTTATTCCCATTACCAGGTGTTGTCCTAAACAGTCTTATTCCCATTACCAGGTGTTGTCCTAAACAGTGTTATTCCCATTACCAGGTGTTGGCCTAAACGGTGTTATTCCCATTACCAGGTGTTGTCCTAAACGGTGTTATTCCCATTACCAGGTGTTGTCCTAAACGGTGTTATTCCCATTACCAGGTGTTGTCCTAAACGGTGTTATTCCCATTACCAGGTGTTGTCCTAAACGGTGTTATTCCCATTACCAGGTGTTGTCCTAAACTGTGTTATTCCCATTACCAGGTGTTGTCCTAAACTGTGTTATTCCCATTACCAGGTGTTGTCCTAAACTGTGTTATTCCCATTACCAGGTGTTGTCCTAAACTGTGTTATTCCCATTATCAGGTGTTGTCCTAAACAGTCTTATTCCCATTACCAGGTGTTGTCCTAAACAGTGTTATTCCCATTACCAGGTGTTGGCCTAAACGGTGTTATTCCCATTACCAGGTGTTGGCCTAAACGGTGTTATTCCCATTACCAGGTGTTGTCCTAAACGGTGTTATTCCCATTACCAGGTGTTGTCCTAAACGGTGTTATTCCCATTACCAGGTGTTGTCCTAAACGGTGTTATTCCCATTACCAGGTGTTGTCCTAAACTGTGTTATTCCCATTACCAGGTGTTGTCCTAAACTGTGTTATTCCCATTACCAGGTGTTGTCCTAAACTGTGTTATTCCCATTACCAGGTGTTGTCCTAAACTGTGTTATTCCCATTATCAGGTGTTGTCCTAAACTGTGTTATTCCCATTACCAGGTGTTGTCCTAAACATTGTTATTCCCATTACCAGGTGTTGTCATAAACGTTATTATTCCTGTCCCAGGTGACGTTCCTGTGCAGTACCATACTGAACTTTGAGGGTCTGCGGACGCGGACCTCCGAGGCCCTGAGCATGGACTCTACTCTGTTTGAGCTGCTGAAGAGGTGCCAGCAGACCTGCTCCTACGCTGCCCAGTTCAACACCTCCGTCTCCCCCATAGAGCTACAGCTGCTGCACAGACTGGTGAGTACTGACCCCTGACCCCTAGCTACAGCTCCACAGACTGGTGAGTACTGATCCCTAACCCATAGCTACAGCTCCACAGACTGGTGAGTATTTAGGTGTTAATTGGACACAAATTGAAAGGAAATGCAAGAAACCAGCAGACACTCCGCCCTCCGACACTAGGTTTTCACTCCAACCCTAATCTAGTACAACTGGGGTTGGAGCAAAATCCTACAGGAGAGGAGCTCTCCAGGAACCGTGTTGGGCAGTGCTGATAAAGGGGATAGGTGTACCATTTGGGACTCGCGTCACTCTCTCATCTTTCCTCTCCCCTCAACCTCAGAGCCCGGCGTTGGAGCTGCCCATCGGCAGCCCTGATTGGCTGGCCTGTGCCCAGAAGCAGCTGGGTCAGGAGCTGGCTACCCAGGGGGCTGTGCAAGAGGAGCGCGAGCAGCAGCTGGACGTCGCCACGGAAACACTGCAGCTATTGGTGGACAGCATCAAGGGCATCCTGTCCAATCACAACCGCCACCTGGCTGACGTCAAACACCTGCTGAAGGCCATGGCCAAGGTACGGGAGACACAGATACACATACACATACACACACACACACACACACACACACACACACACACACACACACAGACACATACCACCTGCTGTGGGCCAATGCAAAGGTACGGACAGTGACACACAAACAGGGAGACCTAGAGATACATGATACTCTCAGCAATCCACTATGCAACTTTCATAATGATTTATTTGATAAAAAAAATATTTATATGAAAATACATTTGATAAACACCCTTTGCCTTTTCACACCAACTCCTTCCTAACTGACCTGACCTCGGCCCGCTCTGTTTGTCCCTGCGTGGGCCCCTTACCTCTGCCCTATTTGTCCCTCCCAGGCCCCCTACCGTAGCAAAGATGGTGGATAAATGAAGATGTCTTACTCAGGCAGTTTACCATAGAAAAGTAATTGTCACAGTCCCGGTCTGGTCTGCTTAGTTCATTGACTGTAGATGAACCAGATAAAGGAGCCAGTGAAACGTCTTCTGTCTCTCCCGTAGGACGAGGAGAACGCGCTGGCGGAGGGGGAGGAAGTGACCTACGAGGGCAGCGTGCGCCAGTTCCTGTCGGAGTACAAGGCTTGGCAGGACAACGTGCAGATCGTGCTGTTCACTGTCGTCCAGGCAACGGGCCAGCCTCGAGGGGGAGGATCCAGTCAGGAGGGGGTGGAGCTACTGCAGGAGATACCTGCTACCCTGAAGGAACTACTCACACAGAGTACCAGGTACACACACACACACACACACACACCGTGAAGGAACGACACACACAGAGTACCAGGTGTACACACACACACACACACACACACACCGTGAAGGAACGACACACACAGAGCACCAGGTACACACACAACACACACACACACACACAACCGTGAAGGAACGACACACACAGAGTACCAGGTACACACACACACACACACACCGTGAAGGAACGACACACACAGAGCACCAGGTACACACACACACCGTGAAGGAACGACACACACAGAGCACCAGGTACACACACACACACACACACACACCGTGAAGGAACGACACACACAGAGCACCAGGTACACACACACACACACCGTGAAGGAACGACACACACAGAGCACCAGGTACACACACACACACACACACACACCGTGAAGGAACGACACACACAGAGCACCAGGTACACACACACACACACACACACCGTGAAGGAACGACACACACAGAGCACCAGGTACACACACACACACCGTGAAGGAACGACACACACGGAGCACCAGGTACACACACACACACCGTGAAGGAACGACACACACCAGAGTTACACAAACCCCTACCCGTACTGACACCCTGTCCCTTCTCTCTCTCTCTGTCTCCAGTGTGTATAACGGCCTGGTTGGCTTTGCGTCTCCGTTGGTGACAGAGAGGAGCGGAGACTGTTCCAGCCCCACCTCTACAGCTCAGACCAGCTTCGCTGCAGGTAACTACACCCCCCTCATGGTGCACTACCCTGGCTGAAGGCACCCTACTCCCAATGTAGTGTACTACTATGGTCCCTGGTCAAAAGTAGGGCACTACATAGTGAATAGGGTGCCCTTTGTTTAATGTGATAACCTGTGTTAATAAATACCAGAATGAGGAAAAATTGCATCTCGCTTCAGAGCTCACAGGCAATGATTACTCTCTCCTGCTCTCTCTCCTGCTCTCTCCCCCTCTCCTGCTCTCTCTCCCCCTCTCCTGCTCTCTGCCCCCCTCCCCCCCTCCCTCCCTCCCTCCCTCCCTCCCCCCTCCCTCCCTCCCTCCCCCCTCCCTCCCTCCCTCCCTCCCTCCAGCAGTGAAGTGCAGTGGTGTGAAGACTCAGACTGACTCAATGTCCCAGAATTCACGCAAGCTCCTCCCCCGTAACCTTGGCACCCCGGCGGACACCCCCCCTAGCGCTCAGACTATGACCAGCAAGGGTCTGAATCCCAGCCCCAAGCGGTCTGTACGTGACCCCAAGACGGGACGAGGTACGACCCCTAACCTCTATCTAACCCCTGACCTCCAATTCAATGAGTGCATTATTAGAAGAAGTGGCAGAAAAAAAAGACTGAAATATCACGTTTACATAAGTATTCAGACCCTTTACTCAATACTTAGTTGAAGCACCTTTGGCAGCGATTACAGCCTCAAGTCTTCTTGGGTATAATGCTACAAGCTTGGCACACCTGTATTTGGGGAGTTTCTCCCATTCTTCTCTGCAGATCCTCACAAGCTCTGTCAGGTTTGATGGGGAGCGTCGCTGCACAGCTATTTTCAGGTCTCTCCAGAGATGTTCGATCAGGTTCAAGTCCGGGCTCTGGCTGGGCCACTCAAGGACGTTCAGAGACTTGTCCCAAAGCCACTCCTGTGTTGTCTTGGCTGTGTGCTTAGGGTCGTTGTCCTGTTAGGTGAACCTTCGCCCCAGTCTGAGGTCCTGAGCGCTCTGGAGCAGGTTTTCATCAAGGATCTCACTGTACTTTGCGCCGTTCATCTTTGCCTCGATCCTGACTAGTCTCCCAGTCCCTGCCGCTGAAAAACATCCCCACAGCATGATGCTGCCACCACCATGCTTCACCGTAGGGATGGTGCCAGGTTTCCTCCAGACGTGGCGCTTGGCATTCAGGCCAAAGAGTTCAATCTTGGTTTCATCAGACCAGAGAATCTTGTTTCTCATGGTCTGAGAGTCTTTAGGTTCCTTTTGGCAAACTCATAGCGGGCTGTCGTGCATTTCACTGAGGAGTGGCTTCCGTCTGGCCACTCTACCATAAAGGCCTGATTGGTGGAGTGCTGCAGAGATGGTTGTCCTTCTGGAAGGTTCTCCCATCTCCACAGAGGAACTCTAGAGCTCTGTCAGAGTGACCATCGGGTTCTTGGTCACCTCCCTGACCAAGGCCCTTCTCCCCCGATTGCTCAGTTTGGCCGGGCGGCCAGCTCTAGGAAGAGTCTTAGTTTCAAACTTCTTCCATTACAGAATGATGGAGGCCACTGTGTTCTTGGGGACCTTCAATGCTGCAGTAATGTTTTGGTACCCTTCCCCAGATCTGTGCCCCTGTCTCTGAGCTCTACGGACAATTCCTTCGACCTCATGGCTTGGATTTTGCACTGTCAACTGTGTGACCTTATATAGACAGGTGTGTGCCTTTCCAAATCATGTCCAATCAATTGAATTTACCACAGGTGGACTCCAATCAAGTTGTAGAAACATCTCAAGGATGATCAATGGAAATAGGATGCACCTGAGCTCAATTTCGAGTCTCGTAGCAAAGGGTCTGAATACTTACGTAAATAAGGCCTTTATATTTTTTGTTTTTAATAAATGTGGTAACATTTCAAAATGCCTGTTTTCGCTTTGTCATATGGGGGTATTGTGTGTAGATTGCTGAGGAAATTGTTTTATTTAATCAATTTTAAAATAAGGCTGTAATGTAACACAGTGTGTAAAAAGTCAAGGGGTCTGAATACTTTCCGAAGGCACTGTATAAGGAATAGGGTGCCATTTGGTACGCAACCTGTGGGGCTCTGAGGCTTGCTGTCTCGGACGTCTATCTGTCCGTGTGTGTGTTGACTATGACGTGGTGTGTGTGTTGACTATGACGTGGTGTGTGTGTTGACTATGACGTGGTGTGTGTGTTGACTATGACGTGGTGTGTGTGTTGACTATGACGTGGTGTTTGTGTTGACTATGACGTGGTGTGTGTGCTTGACTATGACGTGGTGTGTGTGCTGACTATGACGTGGTGTGTGTGCTGACTATGACGTGGTGTGTGTGTGACTATGACGTGGTGTTTGTGTTGACTATGACGTGGTGTGTGTGTTGACTATGACGTGGTGTGTGTGTTGACTATGACGTGGTGTGTGTGCTGACTATGACGTGGTGTGTGTGCTGACTATGACGTGGTGTGTGTGTTGACTATGACGTGGTGTGTGTGCTGACTATGACGTGGTGTGTGTGCTGACTATGACGTGGTGTGTGTGCTGACTATGACGTGGTGTGTGTGTGACTATGACGTGGTGTGTGTGTGACTATGACGTGGTGTGTGTGCTGCAGCTGTCCAGGAGAGGAACTCGTACGCGGTGAGCGTGTGGAAGAGGGTGAAAGCCAAGCTGGAGGGGAGAGACGTGGACCCCAACAGGAGGATGAGTGTCTCTGAGCAGGTAGCGACACACTGCTTTACACACTGCTTTACACACTGAGCAGCTAGCTACACACTGCTTTACACACTGAGCAGCTAGCTACACACTGGGCAGCTAGCTACACACTGCTTTACACACTGGCAGCTAGCTACACACTGCTTTACACACTGGGCAGCTAGCTACACACTGCTTTACACACTGAGGCAGCTAGCTACACACTGCTTTACACACTGGGCAGCTAGCTACACACTGCTTTACACACTGGGCAGCTAGCTACACACTGCTTTACACACTGGGCAGCTAGCTACACACTGCTTTACACACTGGGCAGCTAGCTACACACTGCTTTACACACTGGGCAGCTAGCTACACACTGCTTTACACACTGGGCAGCTAGCGACACACTGCTTTACACACTGGGCAGCTAGCGACACACTGCTTTACACACTGGGCAGCTAGCTACACACTGCTTTACACACTGGGCAACTAGCTGCACACTGCTTTACACACTGGGCAGCTAGCTACACACTGCTTTACACACTGGGCAGCTAGCTACACACTGGGCAGCTAGCTACACACTGCTTTACACACTGGGCAGCTAGCTACACACTGGGCAGCTAGCTGCACACTGCTTTACACACTGGGCAGCTAGCTGCACACTGCTTTACACACTGGGCAGCTAGCTACACACTGCTTTACACACTGGGCAGCTAGCTACACACTGCTTTACACACTTTGTTGACAACTGCTTTTTCCTCCTCCTTTGCCTAATCCCGGTCTCCTCTCTCTCCCCTTTCCTCCTCTCCCTCTCCTCTTCTATCCCTCTCTCCCTTCTCCGTCTCCTCATCTCCCCTCTCTCCCTCACCTCTCCAGGTGGACTGTGTGATAAAGGAGGCCACCAACATGGACAATCTGTCCCAGCTGTACGAGGGTTGGACAGCCTGGGTGTGAACGGTGTCTCCCTGTGGTGCATCTCTTTGGTTCCAGCACACAACCGAGCCTCGCAGTGGGAGGGTTAGACATCCAACCGAACCTCCAGACCAGACACCCAGATACCCTGTTACCCACCTGCCCTGTTCTGGCAGGGTTAGGGTTAGGCGTGTCTGTCTGGGCCTGGGGGGGGGGGGGGGGCGAAGGAAGGAGGGGAGGAGCCGCTGGAGCAGCAGCACTCAACCGTGCCACACGCTGATGGGGAAGGAGGGGGAGGGGGAGGGTCAAGATACACCCCCCCCCATATAACCTCCTAGGGGCCCACCATGGAACCTGTACTCCCGTACCCCGTACCGTAGCAGCACTAAAGCTGTCTGCCTGCCTGCCTGCCTGGCTGATTGGCTGGCTACACCCAGTCCCACCCAACCCTGCCACCTGGCAATGGACCCAGCTAACACAACCAGCTAAAGGGTCACTCTGCAGTCTGTCTGCAGCCCGATCCGACCACCCTGCTTGTCTGTTCGGGTGGGGGGGGGTCTGTCTGGGACAGGAAGGGGAGTAGAGAAATTGGGAGGGAAGGTGTGATAATAAGTCCCTCCCCCTCTACCCTATGTTTTGAATAACCTTTACCCTCCCCAAATGAAAACCACCACCCTCCACTCACTGTTACCACCGATGACCCCCCCCCCCCCCCCCCCTTAACAGCTGAGCTGGTTTACCCAGCATGCCGTTGGGTTTGGACCTCATTCAGAGGGGTGGAGAAAGGGGCAGATTTGCCAGGGTCTGAAGAGCTGGTTGCTCCTGTTTTTAAACCAATCTCCTCCCTGATGGTACAGTGATTCTGATTGGCCAGTGACTAAGCTGCGTGAGTTGTGATTGGGCAGGTGTGGCATGGGGGGGGGGGGGGGAGAGAATCTGTCGGCTGAATCCGAAGCCTGAGGGGAAAATGATTTCATTAAATAAAATTGTGTCATCAGACTATTTTTCTTTTTTCTTCTCTGAAACATTTATTGTAAAGCGGAAGGAAAAAAAATACATATTTTACAAAGCTCTTTAGAAATTGTGTATCACACAAGTTTCACGTAAAAAATGGATTATCAAGTGGAGATGGGTTTTTGGGGAGAAGATTCACTGTCGTGTGTTTTTTTTTTTTTTTTTTTTATGTTTCGGCACTGCGTAAAAATATGCCTCAAGTTAACTAATCCTATTGTCTGAAGTTATGACTTTCTGTTAGGGGAGTTGAGATTTGGGGATTGACTGAGAAAGGACGACAAAGTGGTCAAAGTTCTAGCTAGTTATTATCTGAATCTTGGTTTACATCCCGAATGGCACCATGTCCCCTATACAGTGCACTACTTTTGACCAGAGACGTTTGGGTCGAAGGTCAAAGGTAGTGCCCTAAATCGGGAATAGGGTGTCACTTGGGACGTAAACCTTGACCTGAGAGAAATCCATGTAAAATCCATTTTTCTTCAATGTGCATCTTTATTCATATCTGTTGTATTGTAGGCTTCTCCTCCCTACCCCCCTTGTTTATAAAAGAGAAAACCTTTAGACTAGATTGCTTTTTCCTTTTTTGACTCTCTGCCTGTGTGTGAGTAAGTAGTATCCTTCCTTCCTAATATGGTATGTATACTCTCCAGCCCTATAGCTTGTGTTTTACTGATCCTTACTAACTGACCTTCTAGTTTTACCTTTTTTAGTGGGAGAAATAAGTAGAATAGACAAGTAAAGGAATAGTGGATGTTTTTTTTTTGGGTGATAGTACAAAACTGTTATTTCTTAAAAGATTTTATTGGATTTTGTTTGAAATAAACGTAGATTTAAAATTGTTGTCTGTTTTTTGGTCTCTGTTTTGTATTTGCAGAACATAGGCATCGTTAATAAAGGGGTGTATTTATTTAAGTGTTTGACTATTTTTTATGTCTATGATGCGATGGCTGATATTTTTCATTCTTGTACGGTGATGCCAATGAAAATACAGTGAAGTTATTTTATTCTAGAATTATTTCTCCAGGTGGAAAGATTGATACTGTAAACTGAACATATGAACTGCATGTACATAGAAAATGGAAGAACATGCAGATTTTTAGGACCCTCTCCATACACTTTTCCATTGTTTTTCTAGGTCCCATACTCTCATAACTAAAAAGACAAATGTGCATGTACTTCTGCTGCTTTGGATGAGAAGCCACACTGTTGAAAACACTTTTATTTACACTGATGTGGAAACAGGATGGGTAAAGTGCCCTAAGGGGAATAGGGTACAATTTGGGACTTTACCAAGGAAAGGAATTCACTTCAGACTATCCAGTAATGGTTATAAACTGGTGAATGAGCTCACTGGTCAATCAGCCAATAAACGAATCAAGATCCAGTCAGTTAGGGGGAAATGTAACACAGAGGCCCTTGAGGACTTCAGCTGTGGTCAGTGGCCCAAACGCCTGACTGACATTAAATTAATCTTCCAATTCCATTCAAGCTAAACCTAATCAAGTGATTTGTGAAATTGGTCAGAGTTTCGCCAATTCAATTATTGCTCATTCTACTAATTTCCTTCAAATCAAATCAAATTTTATTGGTCACATGCGCCGAATACAACAGGTGCAGACATTACAGTGAAATGCTTACTTACAGCCCTTAACCAACAGTGCATTTATTTTAAACAAAAAAAGTAAAAATAACAAAAAAAAAAGTGTTGAGAAAAAAAAAGAGCAGAAGTTAAATAAAGTGACAGTAGGGAGGCTATATACCGTTGCAGAGTCAATGTGCGGGGGCACATTGTGGTAGGAGTTTCATCCTGCGAAACAAACGGTTTATTGATTTTAAATGAATTGGGTCATAAATGTCAACTGAGGGGTTTTATTTTGGGCGAGGCCGAGAAAAGTGGCGTGAACTACATTACCCATAAAGCCTTTAGCCATGACGCGTTTTTTTGTATGCGTAAAAAAAAAACATCCTGCCAAGGCAGCTAGCAGTTGGTTTGTGAAACCTGCAAGAGCCACAAAGACGAGAGGGAGGCGTCTGCTGCGTCCCTGGGTCGTTTCAAAGTTGCCTTTAAAACATCGTAAGATTAAACAACCGCTAGTTATGGCAGAGGGAGACAACAAAAGCGCGAACGTACTCGTAAGTAACGTTATCCCACCTTCGACTTGACAAGCCTTTCTTCCTAAGCTAGTTAACGTCGTAGTGTTGCTTGACTCTTGCTGTCAACGGCCTTAATGCTAACAATTAGCCAGCTATGCTAGCATTAGTTGGACGTAGCTTGCTAGCGAAGAAGGATCAGTGAAAATGAAAACCGTGCCCAACAACACATTCAATATTTAATCTGCCCGTCTGAGTGAATTAACCAAGTCATGGTTTGTTAGACGGCCTATGTATCATTTTACATAGGCCGTTAACGTTAGCTACGCCAACAAAATGAGTTATGCAGTCTAATATTGGCCTAATATTAGCTAACATTATTGCTTATTATTTAGTTAACTAGCTGTTAACGCATGAGATCGCTAATTGATGAAAGGCGGTCTTGTAACTAGCATACAGCTAGCTGTGTTTATTTGACTGGCTACCCAACAGACGGCTGTCCGTAAGGTTATTTTAAATGTGACAGACGTTCAGCTGGCAAGCCGAGCGAGCCTAATGTCTGGCTAATTTGTATCGTGTGAAATTACTAAACATCCCACGTGAAATTCCCAACATTGCGCTACCTTAACTATTTGATCAGCCACAGAAAGATAACTAAAATATAGTTCAAAAGTTAGACGATTTACTCAGAGAATGTAGCATGATTAGAGTGAATAGTGTAATGAAGACCATGGTCAGAAGTGGTCGCTGCTCCGACCGTTGGCAGAACAGTGCTAAATTCCAACGTCAACTGACAAGCTAGCTATTGGCTGCAGGTTCGTGTGTGATAACCGCGGAATAGAAAACCAAATGGATCATATTAATTAACAACGCTAAGACAGAATTTCAATATCTACCCTCCCCGGAAAAGTGTTCATGTTTTCATAGTGAATGTCTTAGTCTAACCTTTTAAATTGCCATAGAAACGGCCCCTCTCAACATTGGTTGACCAGGGTTAGAGGAATAGAAAGCCACGGATCTGGGGGATGAATATGACGAGGGTATCAAGTTGATTTTGATTGGTCCAAAGCGCAGACGTTACCGTCTCCCAATGCCGAACAATTACATTTACATTTACATTTTAGTCATTTAGCAGACGCTCTTATCCAGAGCGACTTACAGGAGCAATTAGGGTTAAGTGCCTTGCTCAAGGGCACATCGACAGATTTTTTCACCTAGTCGGCTCGGGGATTAGAACCAGCAACCTTTCGGTTACTGGCACAACGCTTTTACCCACTAAGCTACCTGCCGCCCCGAACAATGGAAGAGAACTAGCGAAGGACACTACATACTAACGTTATCATTTAATCAACACTGTTAAGTACAAGCATATTAGGTAGTAATATTGTAGAGAACAATCTAATTATTAATTGTATGTGATTCATAGTGACATGGGCTAAACTAGGTTTAGACATTAATTTAGTAGCACCCTCTTGAATTTATCTGTATTTCACTACATTCTCTAGCAGTGGTTCCCAAACTGTGGGGCGAGCCCCCCCCCCATGTTTTTATTTGTATTTTAAGGAACTCAGTCCTGCTTTCAACTTACTCCTGAAAGTTGTAATAGTAGAACACATGGTGCAATTTCGAAATTGGGTAGTGCATCATCAGTTTCCCACTTGTCATGTCAGTCATTGCATTTCTTAGAGCTATTTATAACTTGTAAGTAATGTCCAGACTATCCCATGTCGACTAACGTTTTTTTTAGCCCATAGATTTTGTAATGTTCGAGTCACTCAAATCACATGAATACACATTAGACATGACAAAATGTATAGAATTGCAAGAAAATTAGCTTTAAAACTGCAGGATTCTCTCTGCACACCATGACAAAATGTGTAGAATTGCAGGAAATAAGCTTTAAACCTGCAAAAACAGTGTGACCATAGAAAGACGTGCTGTGCGTGGGAAAAAGTTTGAACTGCTGTTCTAGAGCAGTGAGTGAACGCCCTAGAATCTGTTTGAAATTGTCTTCAGTCAAATTGTGCTTTGACAGCTTAACGATAGCTCTCAGATGTGGCAGTCAGGCCTTGTCTGTCATTGATTACATTTAACCACTAAACAAATCTACCACAGAGGATCAACTGACAACTAGGATGGACCACGATGATGATTTGTCTCGAAAACAAGTCTGTAACGTTAATAGCTATGCCTTTTCCTGGCTGGCTGTGCGTCATGAGACGGCATGGTGTTTAGTGCCCTTGGAATGAGATGGCTGTATGAAGACAATGTGGGATTATTTCACTTCCCCGACCATTCACAAGGACACCTCTGTTTTCCTCAACCCTGTAGCTCTGCTCAGCTGCCAATTTTTTTATTTCTTTTTTTGATTAATTTAACCTTTATTTAACCAGGCAAGTCAGTTAAGAACAAATTCTTATTGAAAATGCCGGCCTAACCCGGCCGACGCTGGGCCAGTTGTGCGCCGCCCTATGGGACTCCCAATCACGGCCGGATTGTGATACAGCCTGGAATCAAACCAGGGTCTAGTGAGGCCTCTAGCACTGAGAGATGCGGTGCCTTAGACTGCTGCGCCACTCGGGAGGGAACTGATAGTGGTAGATGGATGTTTGGAAGTCAGCAGGGCTTAAGGTATTAGCTAGCCTTGAGGAATTAAACGGTGGTATGTCTGTGGTGCAGTCTGAACCCTAGTCCCTATATAGTGCACTACGTTTGACCAGAGCCTATAAGGAATATGGTACCATTTGGTACTCAGCCTTAGATTAGAGCTCTTTAGATTAATAGGCTAAACTGTCAACTATATGTGAATTGGAGTTAGTTGTCTGGCTGAAAGTTGGATGGCTTTTCTTCAGAGTCCACCAGTGAATCTGGAGTCCTTTTTCAACCCGTCCTGTTATCAGGCTACGTTTTCACTCACCTTGGGGGACTATTAATCAGACTGGTCAAATTGCTACTTTCTATGTCGGGAGCTGGGGATTTGTGTATGTATTTAAACTGACCTTAACCCCATGGCTCTGCAATAGACTAGCGTCCTGTCCAGTGGGTGTACTTGTACATCAAGCTGCCTCACTCTACAAAAACAGGAGATAAGCTCCTGTCTTATGGGCCGTTCTGGCTCGTACAAGGCTACTCCCTGACCTCTGTCTCTGTGTGTCTCCCTGTGTGTGTGGCTCTGGCGTGCCCCAGGCCCAGGAGACGGCCCAGCTGGAGGAGCAGCTGCAGGGCTGGGGAGAGGTGATCCTGGCTGGGGACCAGGTGCTGCGCTGGAAGAAACCATGGTTCCCTGCAGCCCTGATGGCAGCCACCACACTGCTCTTCATGTGAGTAGTACTCACACATACACGCAATCAACATGATCACCTTCACCTGTAGCAGCATGGTGGCTCCAGCAATGTGTTGCAATCAGCATTATTTACTACATTATCACTGCACACCACACAGAGAAGGGACACACACACACCACACAGAGAAGGGACACACACACACCACACAGAGAAGGGACACACACACACCACACAGAGAAGGGAAACACACATACACCACACACAGAAAGGGACACACACACACACCACACAGAGAGGGACACACACACACACCACACAATAGGGACACACACACACACACACACAGATAGGGACACACACCACACCCCACACAGAGAAGGGCACACACACACACACCACACAGAGAAGTGACACACACACACACCACACCTAGAAGGCACCACACACACACCCCACCGAGAAGGGAACCACACACACACCCACACATAGAAGGGACACACACCACCACACAGAGAAGGGGACACACACACACAAACACACACACAGAGAAGGGACACAAAAACCCAAACACACCAACAGAGAAGGGGGGACACACACACACACACACCACACAGAGAAGGGGGACACAACACACCACACAGAGAAGGGGGACACACACACACCACCACAGAGAAGTGGGACACCACACACACACCAAACGAGAAGGGGGACACACACACACACACAGAGAAGGGGACACCACCACACACACACAGAGAAGGGGGGAAACACAACAACACCACACAGAGAAGGGACACACAAACACACACAACACACACACAGAGAAGGGGGAGGTACACACACACACACACACACACCACACAGAGAAGAGGGGACACCCACCACATACCACACAGAGAAGGGGGACACACCAAATAACCACACCGAGAAGGGGGACACACACACACACCACACCACACAGAGAAGGGACAAAACCACACACACACCACACACACTCCACACAGAGAAGGGGGACACACACACACACACACACACACACACACACACACACACACTCCACACAGAGAAGGGGGACCACACACACCAAACACCACACAGAAAGGGGGGACACACAACACAACACACCACACAGAGAAGGGGGGACACACCACACACACACAACACACAACACAGAGAAGGGGGACACACACACACACACACAGAGAAGGGGACACACCACACACCACACAAGAGAAGGGAACACACACACACACACCACACAGAGAAGGGAGACACACCCCACACACACACCCACACAGAGAAGGGGGACACACACACACACACACCACACAGAGAAGGGGACACACACACACCCAACACCACACAGAGAAGGGGACACACACACACAACCACACCACACAGAGAAGGGGACACACCACACACACACCACACAGAGAAGGGGGACACACACACACCACACAGAGAGGGACACCCACACACCACCAAGAAGGGGGACACACACACACACACCACCACACAGAGACGGGGGACACACACAACACCACACCACAAGAGACGGGGACACACACCACACCACACAGAGAAGGGGACACACACACCAACAACCAACACAAAACGGAAGGGACATACAACACCACCACACACCACACAGAGACGGGGGACACACACACACACACACACCACACCACACAGAGAAGGGAGACACACCACACCACACCACACAGAGAAGGGGGACACGCACACACACACACCACACAGAGAAGGGGGACATACACACACACCACACCACACAGAGAAGGGGGACACACACACACACCACACATAGAAGGGGGACACACACACACACCACACAGAAGGGGGACACACACACACACCACACAGAGAAGGGGGACACACACACACACCACACAGAGAAGGGGGACACACACACACACCCACACAGAGAAGGGACACACACACACACACACACCACACAGAGAAGGGACACACACACACACACACACACACACCACACAGAGAAGGGGGACCACACACACACACCACACCGAGAAGGGGCACACACACACCACACAGAGAAGGGGGACACACACACCACACCACACAGAGAAGGGGGACACACACACACACCACACCACACAGAGAAGGGGGACACACACACACACACACACACCACAGAGAAGGGGGACACACACACACACACACACACACACCACACCACACAGAGAAGGGGGACACACACACACCACACCACACAGAGAAGGGGGAACAACACAACCACACAGAGAAGGGAGCACACACACACACACACACACACACACACAGAAAAGGGGGACACACACACACACCACACCAGAAACAAAACCAAAACCACACAGAGAAGGGGGACACACACACACCACACAGAGAAGGGACACACACACACACACCACACAGAGACGGGGGACACAACACCACACCACACAGAGACGGGGGAACACACACACCACACAGAGACGGGGGACACACACACACACACACCAACCACACGAGAAGGGGGACACACACCCCAACCACACAGAGAACGGGACACACACACACAACACACACACACCAACCAGAGAGGGGGACACACACACACCCACACAGAGACGGGGGACACACACACACACCACACCAGAGACGGGGACACCACACACACACCACACAGAAACCGGGGGGACACACACACACACCCCACACGAGAAGGGGGACACACACCACACACACCAAACCACACAGCCACACAGGAGGGACACACACACCACACACACACACCACCACCACCAGAGAAGGGGGACACAACACACCACACCACAACCAACAGAGACGGGGGACACACACACACAACCACACCCATACAGAGACGGGGGACACACACACACACCACACAGAGACGGGGGACACACACACACCACACAACGAGACGGGGGACACACACACACACACACCACAGAGAAGGGACACACAACACCACACAGAGAAGGGGGGACACACACACACCACACAGAGAAGGGACACACACACACACAAAACACACAACACACACACACACACACAACAACCACCAGAAAAGGGGGACACACACACACCACACCACACAGAGAGGGGGGACACACACCACACAGAGAAGGGACACACACACACACACACCACACCACACAGAGAAGGGACACACACACACCACACCACACCACATAGAGAAGGGGGGCACACACACCACACCACACCACACAGAGAAGGGACACACACACACCACACAGAGAAGGGACACACACACACACACCACACAGAGACGGGGGACACACACACACACACCACACAGAGACGGGGGACACACACACCACACAGAGACGGGGGACACACACACACACACCACACAGAGACGGGGGACACACACACCACACACCACACAGAGAAGGGGGACACACACACACACACCACACCACACAGAGAAGGGACACACACACACACACACACCACACAGAGAAGGGGGACATACACACACACCACACAGAGAAGGGGGACATACACACACACCACACAGAGAAGGGGGACATACACACACACCACACCACACAGAGAAGGGGGACACACGGAGGACACACACACCACACCACAGAGAGGGGCCCAACCACACCACACAGAGACGGGACCACACACACAACACACACACACACCACACAGAGACGGGGGGACACACACACACACCCACACAGAGACGGGGGACACACACACACCACCACACAGAGACGGGAACACACACACACACACCACACAGAGACGGGGGACACACACCACACCACACAGAGACGGGGGACACACACACACCACACAACAACCACACCACACAAGAGGGGACACACACACACACACACCACAACCACACAAGAGAGGGGGCACACAACACACACACACAACACAACCACACACAGAGACGGGGGACACACACACCCCACACCACACAGAGAGGGACACACACACACACCACACAGAGAAGGGGGACACACACACACACACCCACCACACAAGAAGGGGACACACCCCACACACACCACACAGAGAAGGGACACACACACACACCACACAGAGAAGGGGGACACACACACACACACCACACATAGAAGGGGGACACACACACACACCACACAGAGAAGGGGGACACACACACACACCACACAGAGAAGGGGGACACACACACACACCACACATAGAAGGGGGGACACACACACACACACCACACAGAGAAGGGGGACACACACACACACCACACAGAGAAGGGGGACACACACACCACACCACACAGAGAAGGGGGACACACACACACACCACACAGAGAAGGGGGACACACACACACACCACACATAGAAGGGGGACACACACACACACCACACAGAGAAGGGACACACACACACACACACCACACCACACAGAGAAGGGGGACACACACACACCACACCACACAGAGAAGGGGGACACACACACACCACAGAGAAGGGGGACACACACACACACACACACACACACCACACCACACCACACAGAGAAGGGGGACACACACCACACAGAGAAGGGACACACACACACACACACCTCACCACACAGAGAAGGGGGACACACACACACACACCACACAGAGAAGGGGGACACACACACACACACCACACAGAGAAGGGGGACACACACACACACACCACACAGAGAAGGGGGACACACACACACCACACAGAGAAGGGACACACACACACACACACACAGAGAAGGGGCACACACACACCACACAGAGAAGGGACACACCACACCACACAGAGAAGGGACACACACACACACACACCACACCACACAGAGAAGGGGGACACACACACACACACACACACACCACACCACACCACACAGAGAAGGGGGACACACACACCACACCACACCACACAGAGAAGGGACACACACACACACACACACACCTCACCACACAGAGAAGGGGGACACACACACACACACCACACAGAGAAGGGACATTTTGAAGTGAATGTAGGCCTATTGTTTATGCATTCGAATGGCCGATGCGCTTCCCGCAGTTACTCTATTGTCATGCTAGACACTCGTATTGTGACACACTGCCAATTGGATAAATAAATCATACAGCCCTGGATAGCTGGGATCCACCTCTTTTCAGTAATTACCATCAAAACTGTTTTCCCAAGATTGCGTTTAGAAATTCTGCCCGGTGACTAGGCTTAATACAACACATTTCTTTCCACGCAGCAATCAGCGGTGTGAGGAGTTGCGTGCTCTCGCCACCCGACAGTTGATATCAGCTGATAAAAGTCGCTCTGGATAAGAGCGTCTGCTAAATGACGTAAATGTAAATAAATAAACGACATGGCTACTTAACAGCTTCCGGAATTAATATAGACTACAACATTTAATTATTACAAAATTCATTTTTATTTCTTCCTGTATTTAACCAACAAGTGATGTCTGTAAATAATGTTCATGTCTTGACAAGCAAGCAGCTCCAGGTCCCCCAGAATTTAAAACGCATTTCCTGCAATTCTACACAGTTTAACATGATTTATTATGCCTCTCTTGGGGGCTATATGGAGGGGGCTATATGGAGGGGTATTTTGAAAACACAGTGTAAGTGGAAGGCTACCCACCCCCACCCCAAATAAATGATGAAAATGAACCTATAGACTGATGAGCATGACTGTCAAATATATTTTTGGTGGCTAACTGATTAGCGGTTAACATCACTACTTTATTTGTACCCTCTACCCATGTCGATAGGGGCAGTGAATGTCCGAACAGTATAATTACTTTTAGCACAATGGCCATAACAAAGTTTAACCCATTTTATAAACCATGTTGTCACTTGACTTGTGTGTTGAGGTGGACGTTTTTTTTCTTGGTCAATATACATTACAATAATAATTTGGCGTATGAAAATGTGGGCAGGGAACAAGCTACAACTGCTACTGACTGGTACTTAAAGAACTTGAATGAATGGATAAACCCAATTTGACTTTATAGCTCCTATTATAAAATGTGTCACGCATGTACATCACTCTTTAAGACATTATGCCTAGTGTGGTCCTGTGTAGCTCAGTTGGTAGAGCATGGCGCTTGCAACGCCAGGGTTGTGGGTTCGATGGCCAGGGGGGGCAGTATGAAAATTTATGCACTCACTAACTGTAAGTCGCTCTGGATAAGAGCGTCTGCTAAATGACTAAAATGTAATATAAAGTACTGTCTTTCCTGTTACATCAGCTACTGTACCTGTATTTTGTCATACCCAAACCTCAATCATTTAGAGTGTGTACCATGTAAACATGTCTAACTGCACTCTGCATTCATTGTGTAGGTGAGAAACGCTTAAAGGCTCTTCCCAAAACAACAGTCCAAGCAGTGGGTGGCAACAAAAATAATCTATAAACCAAAACAGTTCCAGTTCAGGTAGAAAGTGGTTGAGCAGGTGCCGGAGCGGTGACAGGATCTAACGATGGTTCAGCTACTTACCCATTGGATAACTGTCCATTTGGTTCAGCTACTTACCCATTGGATAACTGTCCATTTGGTTCAGCTACTTACCCATTGGATAACTGTCCATTTGGTTCAGCTACTTACCCATTGGATATCTGTCCATTTGGTTCAGCTACTTACCCATTGGATAACTGTCCATTTGGTTCAGCTGAAACTGGGTTGTGTCTCCAATTTTCTTTTCGGGATCCGGACAAATGTTTCCAGGACACCGGAGTTGATGTGGGCAGCAAGATCCCTGTGGTCGCGAAAGCAAACGAACTGCTCCTCATCAATCAAATTCTCTGCAGCATAAGCATTCTTAATGAGTTGGCATTGGAGCACAGTTGCCACAACTGCACCATCCATCTGCGTTCATCCTGGGGATGGGGTGGGGCTGTGGTCCCGCTAGAGCGGTGGCGGATACGAAGCTCAATTAGCCTCTTCTTCATCGTCGTACTCGGGCTCATAGCCGTGGGATGTAGGGGTGCTGCAGCGCCCCCTGATAAATCGCCCCAAAAAATATATATACTTGTCAGCGGAGCGGGGAGAAAAATACCCCCACCCCAAAGCATCTTCCCACGGCCATGCTTGGGCTCAAATAAATACGGTTTGACGACCCCATCGGCGCCCTTACAGTAGTTTTCTTAATCTCTCGTGAGTATTTAGTTGTCAGACATGTTTGTAACGCTAGGCTACTGTCTTCACTTCTGCCCCGAACAAAACTTGCATCTGTGATTGTGAATAAGGGCCACTCATGCAGTTTTTACGTAAAAGTCCACTCTAAAATGTGCAGTTTTGTCACACAACACAATGCCACAGATGTCTCAAGTTTTGAGGTAGCGTGCAATTGGCATGCTGACTGCAGGAATGTCCACCAGAGCTGTTGCCAGAGAATTGAATGTTCATTTCTCTACTATAAACCGCTTCCAAAGTCGTTTTAGAGAATTTGGCAGTACGTCCAACCGGCCTTACAACTGCAGACCACGTGTATGGCGTCGTATGGGTGAGCGGTTTGCTGACGTGAACAGAGTGCCCCGTGGTGGGGTTATGGTATGGGCAGGCTACGGACGACGAACACAATTTGCATTTTATCGATGGGAATTTGAATGCACAGAGATCCTGAGGCCCATTGTTGTGCCATTCATAGGGCCTAATGAGTTTATTTCAATTGACCGATTTCCTTTATATGAACTGTAACTCAGTAAAATCTTTGAAACGGTTGCATTTATAATTTTAGTTCGGTATAGTAAATTTAGCTTTTCAGACATAACCCTTGATAGAAGACCTAATTTCTCTGGTCTCCACTTGACAGCTTGACTTTGTTTTGACCTGCAGTGGAATTGAGACATCTGACCCTCTCTCTCTTTGTTCTTCCCCTGTCTCTCTTTCTCTACCTCTCCTTCCATCCCTCTCTCCAGGATGATCTACTACCTGGACCCATCGGTGCTGACCGGCCTGTCCTGCTCTATCATGCTGCTGTGTCTGTCTGACTACCTGGTGCCCACCCTCGCCCCCCGCGTCTTCGGATCCAACAAGTGGTGAGGGGAGGGGGGTATATCTGGGGTACAGGGTAGATCTGGAGTACAGTGTGGTGGGGTATATCTGGGGTACAGGGTGATGGGGTATATCTGGATTATAGGGTGGTATATTTGGGATACAGGGTATATCTGGGGTACAGGGTGGGGGGGGTATATCTAGGGCAGAGGAGTTTGGTATCTGTGGATAAAACGGTTGGGGTGTCTGCTTAGGGGGGAGGGCGGCAGGACTTTAGGGGTTGTTGGCGAGGGTTGTTGGCAGGAGGTAGGGGGTGTTTGTAGAGGTTCTGGAGGGGGGGGGGGGGTCGTTTGGGGACATAGTGTGATGTTAGTGGAGCATGACACCGGTGTACATCTAAAGGATCCAGGCGGTCCTCTCTGTCATACCCTCCCCTCCTTCAGTGGTTCTGTAGTAACAGGACACCAGTACAGGATTAAGTGACGCTCTGTAGTTAGTGGTGTATCAGTACTGTCTCTAGCCACCAAGGTCTTGTAGTTAGTGGGTATCAGTACTGTCTCTAACATCAGTAGCTGTAGTCTACCCGGACTGATCAGTACGGGTTCTAAACCCCAAGTGCGTAGTAAGTGCTTTCAGTATGTCAGTATAAAGTCTTATAGTGTGTTTGCAGTAGGCTCTCCATGTATTAATACAGTACTTCTTACACAGTTGTGGATTTGTGTTAATTCAGTAGTTAAACCAGTCTTATACCTGTGGGACTTTCTAACATAAGTCTGATTAGTAGGTAGATCGTGACACTCTAGACACCAGTCTGTAGTTAGTGGTGTATCAGTACTGTCTCTAACACCAGTCTGTAGTTAGTGGTGTATCAGTACTGTCTCTAGCACCAGTCTGTAGTTAGTGGTGTATCAGGACTGTCTCTAGCACCAGTCTGTAGTTAGTGGTGTATCAGTACTGTCTCTAACACCAGTCTGTAGTTAGTGGTGTATCAGTACTGTCTCTAGCACCAGTCTGTAGTTAGTGGTGTATCAGGACTGTCTCTAACACCAGTCTGTAGTTAGTGGTGTATCAGACTGTCTCTAACACCAGTCTGTAGTTAGTGGTGTATCAGGTACTGTCTCTAACACCAGTCTGTAGTTAGTGGTGTATCAGTACTGTCTCTAGCCTCAGTCTGTAGTTGGTGTCGGATGTCTAGTGACCCAGCCCCATTCCCTGTCCTAGACCCTGGCCGCAGCTCTAGACCCAGACTTAGACACAGCCACAGCCTGACTCGGCTGTTTGTTAGCAGTCCCAGTCTAGGGTTGGGCGGTATCCAGATTTCCATACCTTCATACAGTTCCTGTACCATACCTGGGTATACGGTATTTCCAGCAGTGCACACACGGGGCGCTATTTCTTTCCAAATGAAAAAATTATGTATGCTAACAAAGTACTAGCGAATTTCCATAGCAGATGCGAGCTAAATGCTAACAAGCAAACATCAACGAAATGCAAGGACTGACAACCCAGCTCATGAATGTGTACATCTATCTCAAAAAGCTACTCACACTTGATCCAGAAGAGGATTTATTCTCTGCTGTAACCAAGAAGCTTGATATTGCAAGCTAGCCTTCTAATGTTATAGCTAGCAAGTTAGCAAACCAAATGCATAGCTGGAACCCTGAGCTGGGAAAAATGTATTTGGTACATCTTAGATAAATATCTTCTAACTAACTATAAGCGACTGGTGTTAGTGCTGCTCAACAATGGATTGTCACGTTTGCCCCATGTGCTCATTGTAAACAAACTGGCTCAAGTGAAAAAAATCATACCGGCGGTACTTCAAAATACCGCCCAAGTCTACCCCCAGTCTGAAGTTGATGGGATGTATCAGATGTCGGTAGTGGTTCTGCCCTAGGCCAAGCCCCTGACCTGAGTCCCAGTCTTAGACACTGTCTCCAGCCCTTGTCCTATGCACAGACTGACTGTCTGTCCCTTAGGGAAAATATATAGGATTGCTCTTATCCAAAGCTACTTACAGGAGCAATTAGGGTTAAGTGCCTTGCTCAAGGGCACATCGACAGATTTTCACCTAGTCTGCTCGGGGACTCAAACCAGCGACCTTTCGGTTACTGGCCCAACGCTCTTAACCTCTAGGCTACCTGCCGCCCTCTGACCTTTTGAAAAGAAAGGAGATTAGAGGGAGAGGATTTAGATGTGCCGCCATGTAGCCCATTAGGATTTAGAGGTATCTCTCTGTAGCCCATTAGAGGATTTAGAGGTATCTCTCTGTAGCCCATTAGAGGATTTAGAGGTATCTCTCTGTAGCCCATTAGAGGATTTAGAGGTATCTCTCTGTAGCCCATTAGAGGATTTAGAGGTATCTCTCTGTAGCCCATTAGAGGATTTAGAGGTATCTCTCTGTAGCCCATTAGAGGATTTAGAGGTATCTCTCTGTAGCCCATTAGAGGATTTAGAGGTATCTCTCTGTAGCCCATTAGAGGATTTAGAGGTATCTCTCTGTAGCCCATTAGAGGATTTAGAGGTATCTCTCTGTAGCCCATTAGAGGATTTAGAGGTATCTCTCTGTAGCCCATTAGAGGATTTAGAGGTATCTCTCTGTAGCCCTTTAGAGGTGTCTCTGTAGCCCATTAGAGCTGTGAAGGGAGATGGCTTTAGAGCAGGGTTTGCAGACACATCCATGCACACGCATACACACACTCACTCACTCAGAGGACCTGCGTACATACAAGCCCCCCCCCCCCCCACACACACACACACACACACTGGGTCTATGTTAGTGTCTGCCAGTGTGAGTCCTGCTGGTTCATGAGGCCATGTTCTGACTTGTGCCTGAAATGGGTAGTTGTGGCTCAGCAGAAATGAAGGGTACTTCCCCAACTGCCTTATCAATGGGACCATATGATATCTGATAGGCTCATCTCATTCTACTGAACTGGTTCTGATCAAGTGTTCCTGTTCAGATGGATGGAGGGATAGCTGTTGACTGAATAAAAGGACTGGTCTTGGATATAATAATACTATCCCTCTTTCTTTCCTCTCTCCCTCTCCTCCTCCTCTCTCCCTCTGCTCCTCTCCTCCTCCTCTCCTCTCCTCCCTCTCTCCAGGTCTTCAGAGCAGCAGCAGCGTTTCCATGAGATCTGTGGTAACCTGGTGAAGACTCAGCGTCGTGTCCTGGGCTGGTGGAAAAGACTCTTCGCCCTCAAGGAGGAGAAACCCAAGATGGTAAACACACAGTCCCACTTTAGCTCTGCTGTGTGTTTTAGAACATGGTCTCCATCTTTCCATCTGTCGTCTGTTTTAGAACAGGGTCTCTCTGTATCTGTCTGTTTTATAACAGGGTCTCTCTGTATCTGTCGTCTGTTTTAGAACAGGGTCTCTCTCTATCTGTCTGTCTGTTTTAGAACAGGGTCTCTCTCTCTGTGTCTGTCGTCTGTTTTAGAACAGGGTCTCTATCTCTGTATCTCTCGCATGTTAGCTGATTTCAGCCTGCTGCTCCATTTAGCTTGCTGTAAATTAGGCTGCTGTGAAGTACAGGTTAAATCAGTGTAGCACAGCTCAGATGGATGTTTCTTCTGTTCTCATGTAATCTTCCTCTTCACCTCCTGCCTGTGTCCCAACGGGGGAAAACAAAGGGGGTGTGGCATTATGACGGGGTTAGTTCACATGTTAACTACCTATCCAGGCGTTCTGAGATCTGGCATGTGTCTGCAACGTAGTCGGGCAGGAAGTCAAGCAATGGGTTGCTGGTCAGAAAAGTCTGCTTGGTCTCTCCCGTCAAAGCCAAGCTGCATCTCTTCCTGTTTCTGGTTTAACCTGTAGTGATGTCACTTCCGGTTCTCTTCCCACAGTACTTTGCGTCGGTGATCAGCAGTCTGGTGACGGTGGCCTGGATGGGACAGCAGGTCCACAACCTTTTCCTCACCTACCTGATTGGTACGTACCAACACCTTCCTGTCCCCTCCCTACCTGTACCCTACCTCCCTACCTGTACCGTACCCTACCTGTACCACCCTACCGTCCGACCTGTACCCTACCGTCCGACCTGTACCCTACCGTCCGACCTGTACCCTACCTACAGTGCCTTCAGAAAGTATTCACACACCTTGACTGGATTAAATTGAGATTTTGTGTCACTGATCTACACACAGTACCCCATAATGTCAAAGTGGAATTATGTAGTTTTTTTTGGGGGGCACATTTATTAAAATGAAAAGCGGAAATGTCTTTAGTCAATAGGTATTCAACCCCTTTGTTATGGCAAGCCTAAAGTTTAGGAGTAAAAATGTGATTCACAAGTTGCATGGACTCACTCGGTGTGCAATAATAGTGTTTAATGGGATTTTTGAATGACTACCTCATCTATTACATACAATTATCTGCAAGGTCCCTCAGTCGAGCAGTGAATTTCAAACACAGATTCAAACACAAAGACAAGGGAGGTTTTCCAATGCCTCATAAAGAAGGGCACCTATTGGTAGATGGGGGAAAAAAAAAGCAGACATTGAATGTCCCTTTTTGAGCATGATGAAGTTATTAATTACACTTTGGATGGCGTATCAATACACCCAGTCACTGCAAATATACAGGCATCCTTCCTAACTCAGTTGCAGGAGAGGAAGGAAACCGCTCAGGGATTTCACCATGCCAATGATGACTTTAAAACAGTTAGTTTAATGGCTGTGATAGGAGTAAACTGAGGATGGATCAACAACATTGTAGTTACTCCACAATACTAACCTAAGTGAAAAGAAGGTAGCCTGTACAGAGTAAAAAATATTCCAAAACATGCATCCTGTTCGCAACAAGCCACTAAAGTAATACTGCAAAAAAATTTGGCAAAGCTATTCACTTTTTGTCCTGAATACAAACTGTTATGTTTGGGGCAAATCCAATACAACACATTACTGAGTACCACTCTCCATATTTTCAAGCATAGTGGTGGCTGCATCATGTTATGGGTATGCTTGTAATTGTTAAGGACTGGGGAGTTTTTCTGGATAAAAAAATAAACTGAATGAAGCTAAGCATAGGCAAAAATCCTAGAGGGAAAACCTGGTTCAGTCTGCTTTCCACCAGACACTGGGAGATGAATTCACCTTCCAGCAGGACAATAACCTAAAACACAAGGCCAAATCTACACTGGAATTGCTTACTAAGAATACGGTGAATGTTCCTGAGTGGCCGAGTTACAGTTTTGACTTAAATCTGCTTGAAAATCTATGGCAAGACTTGAAATGGTTGTCTAGCAATGATCAACAACCAATTTGACAGAGCTTGAAGAATTTTGAAAAGAATAATGGGTCCAGGTGTGGAAAGCTCTTAGAGACTTAACCATAAAGACTCACAGCTGTAATATCTGCCAAAGGTGATTCTAACATCTATTGACTCAGGGGTGTGAATACTTATGTAAATGAGATTTCTGTATTTCATTTTATACATTTGCAAACATGAATAAAAACATGTTTTCATTTTCTCATTATGAGGTATTGTGCGTAGATACAACACAACAAAATGTGGAATAAGTCAACGGGTATGAATACTTTCTGAAGACACTACCTACCTGTACTCAACCAACCTGTACTAAACCCACCTGGGCTAATGGCTAACTCAGCCAACCTGTACTAAACCCACCTGGGCTAATGGCTAACTCAGCCAACCTGTACTAAACCCACCTGGGCTAATGGCTAACTCAGCCAACCTGTACTAAACCCACCTGGGCTAATGGCTAACTCAGCCAAAGGTTTCCAGTACTGTAGCTTACTCATTGCTGCATTATTTCACAAAGTCCTGATGTTCTTCTGAGTTCAGACAATCAGGTTAATTCAAGCAGTGGTATTCTGGTCCAATCAGGTTAATACAAACTAGTATTTTGGTCTCTCTGACATTGTAGCTGCTCTCTTCTGGTTTCTCCTGCTGGTATAGTACAGATTATGATGACAGTTAAACCACCGGACCCCACTAGAGAAGTGACTACATAGGAAGGATGTACAAAGGTTGGCAATAAGGGAAGTGATGTGCATCTCCTTGGCCGTGTCCCAAACGGCACCCTGTTCTCTATAGGTCCTGGTCTAAAGTAGTGCACTACATAGGGAATAGGGTACCATTTTGGATACACGGCCTGTCAGTTTATGGATGTTTCCCAACATGAGTCATATCTGACGCAAATGTTACTTGGTTTATACATTTATTTGTTAAATGTCTTTGCATACCAGGCCAGCACAACAAGTATTGATTGGCACCCTATTCACTATATAGTGTTCTACTTTTGACCAGGGCCTATAGGGATAGTGCACTATATAGGGAATAGGGTGCGATTGCAAACTGAGACCCAGCATTAGCTATATATATATATATATATATATATATATATATATATATATATATATATATATATATACAGTGGGGGGAAAAAAGTATTTAGTCAGCCACCAATTGTGCAAGTTCTCCCACTTAAAAAGATGAGAGAGGCCTGTAATTTTCATCATAGGTACACGTCAACTATGACAGACAAATTGAGAGAAAGAAAATCCAGAAAATCACATTGTAGGATTTTTAATGAATTTATTTGCAAATTATGGTGGAAAATAAGTATTTGGTCACCTACAAACAAGCAAGATTTCTGGCTCCCACAGACCTGTAACTTCTTCTTTAAGAGGCTCCTCTGTCCTCCACTCGTTACCTGTATTAATGGCACCTGTTTGAACTTGTTATCAGTATAAAAGACACCTGTCCACAACCTCAAACAGTCACACTCCAAACTCCACTATGGCCAAGACCAAAGAGCTGTCAAAGGCAGAAACAAAATTGTAGACCTGCACCAGGCTGGGAAGACTGAATCTGCAATAGGTAAGCAGCTTGGTTTGAAGAAATCAACTGTGGGAGCAATTATTAGGAAATGGAAGACATACAAGACCACTGATAATCTCCCTCGATCTGGGGCTCCACGCAAGATCTCACCCCGTGGGGTCAAAATGATCACAAGAACGGTGAGCAAAAATCCCAGAACCACACGGGGGGACCTAGTGAATGACCTGCAGAGAGCTGGGACCAAAGTAACAAAGCCTACCATCAGTAACACACTACGCCGCCAGGGACTCAAATCCTGCAGTGCCAGACGTGTCCCCCTGCTTAAGCCAGTACATGTCCAGGCCCGTCTGAAGTTTGCTAGAGTGCATTTGGATGATCCAGAAGAGGATTGGGAGAATGTCATATGGTCAGATGAAACCAAAATATAACTTTTTGGTAAAAACTCAACTCGTCGTGTTTGGAGGACAAAGAATGCTGAGTTGCATCCAAAGAACACCATACCTACTGTGAAGCATGGGGGTGGAAACATCATGCTTTGGGGCTGTTTTTCTGCAAAGGGACCAGGACGACTGATCCGTGTAAAGGAAAGAATGAATGGGGCCATGTATCATGAGATTTTGAGTGAAAACCTCCTTCCATCAGCAAGGGCATTGAAGATGAAACGTGGCTGGGTCTTTCAGCATGACAATGATCCCAAACACACCTCCCGGGCAACGAAGGAGTGGATCCGTAAGAAGCATTTCAAGGTCCTGGAGTGGCCTAGCCAGTCTCCAGATCTCAACCCCATAGAAAATCTTTGGAGGGAGTTGAAAGTCCGTGTTGCCCAGCGACAGCCCCAAAACATCACTGCTCTAGAGGAGATCTGCATGAAGGAATAGGCCAAAATACCAGCAACAGTGTGTGAAAACCTTGTGAAGACTTACAGAAAACGTTTGACCTGTGTCATTGCCAACAAAGGGTATATAACAAAGTATTGAGAAACTTTTGTTATTGACCAAATACTTATTTTCCACCATAATTTGCAAATAAATTCATTAAAAATCCTACAATGTGATTTTCGGGATTTTTTTTCCTCATTTTGTCTCATAGTTGACGTGTACCTATGATGAAAATTACAGGCCTCTCTCGTCTTTTTAAGTGGGAGAACTTGCACAATTGGTGGCTGACTAAATACTTTTTTCCCCCACTGTGTGTGTGTGTATATGTATGTATGTATATATATATATATATATATATATATATATATATATATATATATATATATATATATATATATATATATATATATATATATATATATATATATATATATATATATATTCCAAACATCATCGGAGACTTTGGCTAATTGTTGGTCTGACTGAGTAGCTATAACAGACAAGCACAAGGGCCCCATAGCCAGCTGACAGCTGTTCAGTAGTCTGTGCGTTGTCATCCTCCAACTGTAAAATACCACTTAGAGAAAGGGTTATATATCAGGATGAGTCCCAAATGGCACCCTATTAGGGGAACCCCATAGGGCTCTGGTCAAAAGAAGTGCACTACATAGGGAATAGTGTGCCCTTTGGGACGGAAACCTAGTGTCTTTTTTCCACGTTTTGTTACGTTACAGCCTTATTCTAAAATTGATTATATTATTTGTTTTCCTCATCAATCTATACACAATACCCCATAATGACAGTGAACTGTTTTTTTTAATAAATTTTTGCAAATTATTTTTTTTTAAACGGCTGCCTTATTTACATGCGTATTCAGACCCTTTGAGACTCTAAATTGAGCTCCGGTGCATCCTGTTTCCATTGATCATCCTTGATGTTTCTACAACTTGATTGGAGTCAACCTGTGGTAAATTCAATTGATTGGACATAATTTGGAAAGGCACACACCTGTCTATATTAGGTCCCACAGTTGACAGTGCATGTCAGAGCAAAAACCAAGCCATGAGGTCGAAGGAATTGTCTGTAGAGCTCCGAGACACGATTGTGCTGAGGCACAGATCTGGGGCAGGGTACTAAAACATTTCTGCAGCGTTGAAGGTCCCCAAGAACACAGTGGCCTCCATCATTCTTAAATGGAAGAAGTTTGGAACCACCAAGACTCTTCCTAGAGTTGGCCGCCCAACCAAACTGAGCAATCGGGGGAGAAGGGCCTTGGTCAGGGAGGTGACCAAGAACCCGATGGTCACTCTGACAGAGCTCTAGAGTTCCTCTGTGGAGATGGTTGTCCTCCTGGAAGGTTCTCTGCAGCATTCCACCAATCAGGACTTTTATGGTAGAGTGGCCAGACGGAAGCCATTCCTCAGTAAAAGGCACATGACAGCCCGTGTGGAGTTTGCCAAAAGGCACCTAAGGACTCTCAGACCATGAGAAACAAGATTCTCTGGTCTGATGAAACCAAGATTGAACTCTTTGGCCTGAATGCCAAGCGTCACGTCTGGAAGAAACCTGGCACCATCCCTACGGTGAAGCGTGGTGGCAGCATCATGCTGTAGGGATGTTTTTTAGCGGCAGGGACTGGGAGACTAGTCAGGATCAAGGTAAAGATTAACGGAGCAAAGTACAGAGAGATCCTTGATGAAAACCTGCTCCAGAGCACTCAGGACCTCAGACTGGGGCGAAGGTTCACCTTCCAACAGCTCAACGACCCTAAGCACACAGCCTAGACCATGCAGGAGTGGCTTCGGGACAAGTCTTTGAATGTCCTTGAGTGGTCGCGCCAGAGCCCGGACTTGAATCTGATCGAACATCTCTGGAGAGACCTGAAAATAGCTGTGCAGCGACGCTCCCCATCCAACCTGACAGAGCTTGAGAGGATCTGCAGAGAAGAATGGGAGAAACTCCCCAAATGCAGGTGTGCCAAGCGTGTAGCGTCATACCCAAGAAGACCCGAGGCTGTAATCGCTGCCAAAGGTGCTTCAACAAAGTACGGAGTAAAGGGTCTGAATACTTATGTAAATGTGATATTTCCCTTTTTTTATACATTTGCAAACATTTCTAAAAACCTGTTTTCGCTTTGTCATTATGGGGTATTGTGTGTAGATTGAGAGGGGGGGGACAATTTAATCCATTTTACAATAAGGCTGTAACATTAGTGAAGGGGTCTGAATACTTTCCGAATGCCCTGTATAGTTTAATAGACCCGTTAGGAACCAAACGGCTCAGTGGTGGAGGGACTAACCTGAGCTTGTCGAATAAGAGAGGCTCGTTACATTATGCACTAATGAAAACACCCCTTCTTTAAGCAGTATCCTGTTTTAGTTTGGTCCTCCTTGCTCAGGGAATATGACAGTTGGTCAGTCAGACTGACAGTTAAACCGGTCTGACTGGTCAGCTGCTCCCACCAAAATAGATATTATTGGTACACTCATGGCTACACTACATGAGGACATGTAGTGACTCTTTTGTTTCCTGTGTCCCCAGTGAGTTTCCTGCTCCTGCTTCCTGGTCTGAACCAGCATGGCGTCATCAGCAAGTACGCTGGCATGGCCAAGAGAGAGATCAACAAACTGCTGAAACAGAAGGAGAAGAAGAATGAATAGAAAGAAAGAGGAGAAGAAGAAGAAGAGGGGATCTGTGAGACGAACGAGAGAAAAGACGAAGAAGAAACCAGTAGATCGAACGTAAAAGAAAAGCTTCAACTAAGTACTTTTGTACTTCCTCAGTCTGCTCAGACCAACTCTACACACGCTCTCTCCCCCCCCCCTTGACCTCTGACCCCTGTCACCTAACCAACCAATCACCTGGCGGGATTTGTTTTTCAACAGGAAGTGTTTTCCCACCTGTCCTCACACGCATGCAGTCAGTCGCCACGTCGGTCAGGGCTTTAGTTCACCAGTAGACCACACTGAAACGTTACAACGCACACACACGTGTGTCTGTCTCTAGATCCTGTAGGAACGTGTTTAAGATGCCAGTCACTGTCAGTAATACTCTAGTGAGAAAGACCACTGAACAGAAACCTCTAGCAATATTGCGTATGATTATTATCAAACACCCCACACATGTAATACCATCACAAAACAATATATAATACAACTCAATCTCCCAGTGAGGATGGTTAGTGTAATGGACATACTGATGAGGGGTAGGTAGTGTCAGTATTGTTTCAGAAGGCTGTTGTTGCCACCGCTCCTTTACCTTTTTAGATCCCTGCTTCTGTCTAATTTTTAAGATTGCACTGAAACTGTAAAAGAAACTGGAGTTTAGAGTAGAGAAGCAGACCTAGGTTGACGTCCCAAATGGCACCCTATTCCCTACACAGTGCACTACTTTAGACGCTCTGGTCAAAAGTAGTGCACTATCTAGGGAATAGGGTAGGGTGCCATTTGGGACTCGGGGGCCTAGTCTCTGGTGATGTTTGGAATATATATATATATATAATGCTGGTCTGCGTCTGAAATGGCACCTTATTCCCTCTGTAGGGCACCACCCCTATAGGCCCTGGGCAAAAGTAGGGAATAGGGTTCCATTTGAAGACTCAACCCTGGTGTGAGCTGAGACTGGTTCAGGCCCGTACATAGACACAGGTCTAGGATCAGCGTAACCTGCCCCCTACCCATGACCTTACTGATTTAGGGGGAGGAACACCAATCTGGCCTTGGATCAGTGTCTAGTCCAGGTGGACTTGATCCTACTATAGAACCACTGCTGTAACGCTGCTAGCTGGACCTGCTAGAGCCCTTTAGCTGTCCCTCTAGCCCTCTGTCTCTCTGGTCGGGGGGGGGGGGATGATTGTAAATACGCCAATCCTCTCTCTCTCTCTCTCTGTCTTGTCTGTCTGTTTTTATCCTTTACCTATCTCGCTGTTCCTCTCCTCCATTTCATCTGTTTGTTTTTTTGACTTCTCTACAAAGAATTAATAAAGTCTGATTTTGAAAGCTCGTTGATCCTGCTTTGTAGTATTACCCCTCAGGTGTTGAATGTTCTTGAAGTTAGGGAAGGTGAGGGAGGGATGTTCATACCGTACATAGCACCCCAGGGCCAACCCTCCATTTTAAATGTCCTGTCAGACAGACGTGGTTAGATAGTAGATGTACTGTTCTACTCCTGGCAGTGGTAGAAGTGTACTTTTTTCACTCACACACAAACACACTTTTTCTCTCGACACACACACTTTTTTTCTCTCTTGCTACTCACACACTTTTTCTCTCACCACACACTTTTTTTTCTCACGCTACACACACACCCTTTCACTCTCATATGCACTCATTCTTTCTCACAGAGTTCCCAGTAATTAGTTAGTTTATTAACCTCTTAAGGATCTAACCCTTTTTTTCAATTTTCGCCTGAAATGAGATACCCAAATCTAACTGCCTGTAGCTCAGGACCTGAAGCAAGGATATGCATATTCTTGATATCATTTGAAAGGAAGCACTTTGAAGGTTGTGGAAATGTAAAATTAATGTAGGAGTATATAACACATTAGATCTGGTAAAAGATAATACAAACATAAAAACATGTGTTTTCTATTTCTTTTTTTGTTCCATCTTTTAAATGCAAGAGAGGCCACAATATATTGCAGTTTAGGCGCAATTTAGATTTTGGCCACTAGGTGGCAGCAGTGTGTACAACGTTTCAGATTGATCCAGTGAAGTCTGCCCAAATGTGCCAAATTGGTCAATTGATACATGTTAAAGTACATAACTATAGAGAACATACAAAAATGGTATGGTAATACAAAATGTATGTTTACACACTCCCAGGAATGTCATAAATGATGGATCATTAGCTTATACACTAACTTTCACACATCTAGATGACCGGGCGGGGTGGGTTTGGAGCCAGAGACAGCAGGGGTTCAAACTGTAGAACCCAGTTCCTATATCTGAATATAAAAAAATGATCAAACAAAACTATGCTACATTTGATCTCTGGGACCCTCAGGATGACAAATCAGAGCAAGATTACTGAATGTAAGTACATTATTTACCTTCAGAGGTGAATGTATCAAGCCAGTTGCCGTGATATGTTTTTTGTTGTGCACTCTCAAACAATAGCATGGTATTTTTTCACTGTAATAGCTACTGTTAATTGGACAGTGCAGTTAGATTAACAATAATTTAAGCTTTCTGCCCATATAAGACATGTCTATGTCCTGGAAAGTTTGCTGTTACTTACAACAGTCATGCTAATCACATTTGCGCACATTAGCTCAACCGTCCCATATCCGGGATACCGATCCCGTAGAGGTTAAGTGAAAAGGCACCCTCCAGGACAGTTTAACACTCAGCCCAGATCTGCCAGGACAGTGTTTAACACTCAGCCCAGATCTGCCAGGACAGTGAGTTTCAGGGAGCAGGTTTATTAGTCTGAAGTAGTGTTATGCCAGTGAGTTGTTCTGACTTGAGATGGAGTGTTATTTGAGTGGTTTTGGTAGTATTTAAGTGTCTTGTCTTTGAGTGTTGGACTGAACTGCACTCAGTTCGGTCAGAGTTGGGTTTTGAGTGTGCTCAGTTGATTTGTAGAGTGTGTGTACAGTTTTATTGTGTGTGTTTAGTTGAGTCGGAGGGCACAGCAGTCCGTCTCCCAGCGTCGCGCAGCCCACAGGACTCTCTCTCCAGACTGTCTCCTAGCTTTACCTGGACCTGCTGGATTCCTGGCCTCACCTGACACACACGCGCACACACACAGCTGTGGTTAGCACAGAACTGTGTGTTATCTGTGAGGATACTGTGGGTTTACATTAGAGCCTAGAAAGTGTGTGTAATTGTATGTGTGTGTTACACGTGAGCATGCTGTGTGTATTACCTGTCAGTATATCATGTTGATGCCACAGTGTGGGTCTACCAGTGGGGCTGTGTGGTGAGGGGAAGGGGCTAGGACCCCTGTGCTCACTGCGATAGGTCTGTCCAGTAGGGGGTGGGCTCCTTGGGATTGGTCACCTCTCTCATGGCCACACCCTCGCGATTACGAGACCAGTTACTCTGACCCAGCCTATGAAGAACATTGAACTGGAGGGAGAAGAGAAGATGAGGGGAGGGAAGAGAGGGAGAGGGAGGGAGGGAAAGAGTAGGGAGAGGAGAGAGGAGAGGGACGAGAGAGAGAGGAGGGAGGGAGGGGAGAGGAAGGGGAGGGAGGAGAGGAGCGGGAGCGAGGGAAGAGAGGGAGAGGAAGGGATGAGAGCGAGAGGATGAGGGAGGGGGATGGGGAGAGGGGAAGGGCGAGAGGGGGCAGGGAATGAGGGGGAGAGGGGAGGAGAGAGGGGAAGAGGGGATGAGGGAGGAGAGGATGGGGAGAGGGGGGGAGAGGGATGGGAGAGAGGAGGGACGAGGGAGGGGAAGAGGAGACGAGGAGGGAGGGAGGGAAGAGGGGGGAAGGGAAGCAGGAGAGAGGAGAGGGAGGGGGAGGGAGAGGGGCAAGACGGGAGGGGGGATAGACGGGGAGCGAGAGAGGACAGGCAGAAGAGGGGAGGGGAGAGGGAAGGAGGGGGAGGGAGGGAAGAGGCGGGTGAGGGAGACGCGGGAGAGGGGCAGGCGAGGGAGGTGATGAGAGAGGGAGAGGAGAAAACAGGAGAAGAGGCGCAGGGAGGGATCAGGGGAGGGGAGGGAGGGAGTGGAGGGGAGGTGACGCGGGAGGGAAGGAATGAGCAGGGGAGAGGAGAGAGGGGAGAGGAGGGGGGAAGGGGAGGGGGAGTGGATCGGAGGAGGGAGGGCAAGAGGGGGAGGGGAGAGGGAGGGAAGAGGAAGGAGAGGGAGGGAAGAGGGAGGGAAGAAGGCGAGGAGAGCGGAAGAGTGGAGGGCGAGATGGAGGGAAGAGGGGAGGAAGAGGAGGGAGAGAACGAGGGAGAGGGAGGGCGAGGAGGTGCGAGGGGATCTGAGGGGAGCAGAGAGAGGAGGAGGAGGGGGAGAGGAAGAGGGGAGGAGAGAGGAGAGGAGGGAAGATGGGAGAGGAGAGGAGAAGGGAGGAGAGAGGAGGGAGACGAGGGGGAGGTGAGGGAGAGGAGACACGAGGGAGGGAAGAGGGGAGGGGGGCGAAGGGGGGAAGAGGGGAGAGGGGGGGAGGGGAGAGGGAGGGGGGGAGGGGAGGAAGGGGGGAGGGGGGGAAAAGGGGGGGGAGGGGGGAGGGAAGAGAGGGGAAGGGGGAAGAGGAGAGAGGAGAGGGAAGGGGGGGAGGGAAAGAGGGGGGAGGGAGGGGGGGGGGCGGGAGGGAGGGAAAAGAGGGGGAGGGGGGAAGGGGGGGGGAGGAAAAGGGAAGAGGGGGAGGGGGGAGAGGGGGGGGGGGGGAGAGGGGGGGAAAGAGAAGGGGGAAAGGGAAAACCGGAAGGGGGAGGAAGGGAGGGGGGGAGGGAAAGGGAGGGGGGGAGGGGGAAGAGGAAAGGGGAGGGGGGGAAAAGGGGGGAAAGGGGGGAAGGGGGGGGAGGGGGGACAAAGAGGGAAAGGGGGGAAAGGGGGGAGAGAGGGGGGGGGGGGAGGGCCGGGGGGAGGGGAAAAGAGGGAGGCGAGAGGGAGGGAAGAGGAGGGGAGGGAAAGGGAAGGGGAGAGAAGAGGGGGAGGGAGGGGGAGAAGAGGGGACGAGGGAGGGAGGGCAAGAGGGGGAGAGGGAGGGAAGAGGAGGAGAGGAGAGGGAGGGGAGGGGAAGAGGAGGGGAGGGAGGGGAGGGGAGGGGGGGGAGATGGAAGAGGGAGGGAGGGAGGGAAGAGGGGGAGAGGGGAGGGGGGGGGGGAAGAGGGGCGGGAGAGGGGAGGGGGGGAGGAGAGGGAGAGGGGGGGGAAGATGAGGAGAGAGGGAGGGGGGGAGGGAAGAGGGGGAGAGGAGAGGGGAGGGAGGGGAGGGGGGGAAGAGGGGGGGAGGGAGGGAGATGGGGAGGGAGGAAGGGGAAGGGAGAGGGAGGGAGAGAAGAGGAGGGGGAAAATTGAGAGGGGAGGGAGGGAAGATGGGGAGAGGGAGGGAGGGAAGAGGAGGGGGGGGAGGGAATAGGGGAGAGGAGAGGGAGGGGGGAAGAAGATGGGGGAGGAGAGGGAGGGGGAGGGAAGAGGGAGAGAGGAGAGGGAGGGGGGAGGGGAAGAGGAGGAGAGGGAGGGAAAGAGGGGGAGAGGGAAGAGGGCGGGGAGAGGGAGGGAAGATGAGGGGAGGGAAGAGGGAGGGAAGATGGGGATGAGGAGAGGGAGGGAAGGATGGGGGAGGGGAGGGAGGGAGGGAAGATGTGGGAGGGAAGATGGAAGGGAAAATGGGGAGGGAGGGGAGATGGGGAGAGGGAGGGAGGGAAGATAGGGAGAGGGATGGAAGATAGGGAGAGGGGAAGGGGGGAAGAAAGATGGAGGTGTGGGGGAGGGGGGAAGAGAGATGAATAGAGGTGTTCTATTCTATTCAGTGGTTTCCTTCCTCTAAATATGATCCTACATCACCCTCTACTGGTGACATTGAGTACTGAAGACATCCCTGTATGACCATGTAGTCACTATATTTAACTGACGTGTTTCACTGAGACAACACGGAATGAAATAAAGCTCAACTGACGATCATTCATTCATTCATTGAGACTGACAGTTGGTCGTACCGGGATGATGTCTTTGGGGCCATGGATGTCTCTGCTGTGTGTCTGTGATTGGCTGGTGGATGTGTGACTCAGGTCCAGCTGACCGGCGTGCTGGGAGGGGTAGGCGGGATCTCGGGGAAAGAAGACCAGCGGTTGGCCGTCGGCTGCCCACCCACAGTAACTCTGGAGAGAACCAGGAAGAGGATCTCACGACATCACTCACGTCATACCAAAGACAGACACACACCCCGATATTATAGTTCCTTTATTCAAACAGTAAAAGTGCTCATACTGCTCGTGTGTGTGTGGTACTGGTACAGTTCTATAATACCATCTAATTGGTACTAACCTGAGTGTGTGTGGTGGTGTAGCTGGTCCCAGATGCCTGTGGGTGCCCTAGTGACAGGGTGCTCTGGTGCATCAGGCGCCGATTCCTCGGGCCTAAAGACTGGGGCTTGCCTGGATCCCGCTGCCCAGCCGGGGCCTCTCGGATGTGGGTCATCCGGCTGCCCATGAGCACACTGTCGACCTTACTACCCTGGCCGAAGCCTACTGTCACATGCCGGTTCTCAGACATACTGCTGGCCAATCCCCTGGAACACAACATATCATTGTATCTATCAACGTGAATCCCAAATAATACGTCCCAAATGGTACCCTATTCCTAGTATAGTGCACTATTTTGACTAGGGCCCAGGCTACCCAGTTGTCTGTACAGTAACAGCCCAACATTTTCATGAATTTGATTGGTGAAATAAATCGCAATGCAATAAAGAATGTGATTTTTATTTTTATATTTGTAGCCTACACACACACTCCACTCCCCACCATTGTTGACAAAAAATAAATCCTTTATTTTAAGATACACTATTATAAAGAAATTATTTATTAAGCCAAATGTTATCGTGTGAAAAATGTAATGGCATAGCTTCATACAGTAACTAATAAAGACCTTCTTCTCAGTTATGTTATGTACTTACCCAAACTCCAGCCAAGAAGCACAATAGCTGCGGTTCTAAATCATTGTTGAACTTTTGTTGTTATGGATACAAACAAACAAACAAGTCCAGCAACAACATACGTAGAAATAGAATTACAAGACAGGAGAGACCACATTTAGCATTACGCCATTTTAGCACCTGAGTGGCCCTGAATTTATTTTGTACTATAATTTTTTTAACTGGGAGTCAGTCATATTGAGACGCAGGTGCCTCATTTAGAGACGTTCCATACACGCGAAATATTTCCCAAAACATAAGCGCTCCAGTTTTCACGCAAAAGGCATTTATAAAAACTGAACTTGATGTCCTCATCCTCCAGCAAACTTTAGAACATGTGTGTGCACAGTTTCTAGTGGTTGAAATAGGTATATTGCTTTGCAAGAAGGCAAAAGTAGCCTGGTAGTAGTAGCCTCGTGCAAATGGAGAATATATGATGAAACTCTTATTCATAACAAAAAAACTGGTAGCTAAATATAATAACAAGATGCAATAATTTGCCCTCGCTACAGATGGTTATTTCGGTCCGCTAATACAGGACTACTAAAGGCCCAGCGCACCACTTTTTTTTATTTGTATATAGGATAAATATAGTACCAGTCAAAAGTTTGGACACACACCTACTCATTCAAGGGTTTTTCTTTATTTTTACTATTTTCTACAATTGTAGAATAATAGTGAAGACATCAAAACTGAAATAACACATATGGAATCATGTAGCAAAAAAAGTGTTAATCAAATCTAAATATATTCTATATTTGAGATTCTTCAGGTAGTCACCTGGAATGCATTTCAATTAACAGGTGTGCCTTATTAAACGTTAATTTGTGGAATTTCTTTCCTTCTTAATGCATTTGAGCCAATCAGTTGTGTTGTGACAAGGTAGGGGTGGTATACAGAAGATAGCCCTACAATGGCTTGCGAAAGTATTCACCCCCCTTGGCATTTTTCCTATTTTGTTGCCTCACAACCTGGAAATAAAATGAATTTTTTGGGGGTTTGTATAATTTCATTTACAGAACATGCCTACCACTTTGAAGATGCAAAATATGTTTTATTGTGAAACAAACAAGAAATAAGACAAAAAAACAGAAAACTTGAGCGTGCATAACTATTCAACCCCCCCAAAGTCAATACTTTGTAGAGCCACCTTTTGCAGCAATTACAGTTGCAAGTCTCTTGGGGTATGTCTCTATAAGCTTGGCACATCTAGCCACTGGGATTTTAGCCCATTCTTCAAGGCAAAACTGCTCCAACTCCTTCAAGTTGGATGGGTTCCGCTGGTGTACAGCAATCTTTAAGTCATACCACAGATTCTCAATTGGATTGAGGTCTGGGCTTTGACTAGGCCATTCCAAGACATTTAAATGTTTCCCCTTAAACCACTCGAGTGTTGCTTTAGCAGTATGCTTAGGGTCATTGTCCTGCTGGAAGGTGAACCTCCGTCCCAGTCTCAAATCTCTGGAAGACTGAAACAGGTTTCCCTCAAGAATTTCCCTGTATTTAGCGCCATCCATCATTCCTTCAATTCTGACCAGTTTCCCAGTCCCTGCCGATGAAAAACATCCCCACAGCATGATGCTGCCACCACCATGCTTCACTGTGGGGATGGTGTTCTCGGGGTGATGAGAGGTGTTGGGTTTGCGCCAGACATAGCGTTTTCCTTGATGGCCAAAAAGCTCAATTTTAGTCTCATCTGACCAGCATACCTTCTTCCATATGTTTGGGGAGTCTCCCACATGCCTTTTGACGAACACCAAACGTGTTTGCAATTTTTTTCTTTAAGCAATGGCTTTTTTTCTGGCCACTCTTCCGTAAAGCCCAGCTCTGTGGAGTGTACGGCTTAAAGTGGTCCTATGGACAGATACTCCAATCTCCGCTGTGGAGCTTTGCAGCTCCTTCAGGGTTATCTTTGGTCTCTTTGTTGCCTCTCTGATTAATGCCCTCCTTGCCTGGTCCGTGAGTTTTGGTGGGCGGCCCTCTCTTGGCAGGTTTGATCTGTACTTCTCCACAACTTTGTCCCTGACCTGTTTGGAGAGCTCCTTGATCTTCATGGTGCCGCTTGCTTGGTGGTGCCCCTTGCTTAGTGGTGTTGCAGACTCTGGGGCGTTTCAGAACAGGTGTATATATACTGAGATCATGTGACAGATCATGTAACACTTAGATTGCACACAGGTGGACTTTATTTAACTAATTATGTGACTTCTGAAGGTAATTGGTTGCACCAGATCTTATTTAGGGGCTTCATAGCAAAGGGGGTGAATACATATGCACGCACCACTTTTCCGTTAATTATTTTTTAGAATTTTTTGAAACAAGTTATTTTTTTCATTTCACTTCACCAATTTGGACTATTTTGTGTATGTCCAAACATGAAATCCAAATAAAAATCAATTTACATTACAGGTTGTAATGCAACAAAATAGGAAAAACGCCAAGGGGGATGAATACTTTTGCAAGGCACTGTATTTGGTAAAAGACCAAGTCCATATTATGTCAAGAACAGCTCAAATAAGCAAAGAGAAACGACAGTCCATCATTACATTAAGACATGAAGGTCAGTCAGTCCGGAAAATTTCAAGAACTTTGAAAGTTTCTTCAAGTGCAGTCGCAAAAACCATCAAGTGCTATGGTGAAACTGGCTCTCATGAGGACAGCCACAGGAAAGGAAGACCCAGAGTTACCTCTGCTGCAGAGGATAAGTTACCAGCCTCAGAAATTGCAGCCCAAATAAATGCTTCACAGAGTTCAAGTAACAGACACATCTCAACATCAACTGTTCAGAGGAGACTACGTGAATCAGGCCTTCATGGTCGAATTGCTGCAAAGAAACCACTACTAAAGGACACCAATAATAAGAAGAGACTTGCTTGGGCCAAGAAACACAAGCAGTGGACATCAGACTGGTGGAAATCTGTCCTTTGGTCTGGAGTCCAAATTGGAGATTTTTGGTTCCAACCGGCGTGTCTTTGTGAGACGCAGAGTAGGTGAACGGATGATCTCCGCATGTGTGGTTCCCACCGTGAAGCATGGAGGAGGAAGTGTGATGGTGCTTTGCTGGTGACACTCTGTGATCTATTTAGAATTCAAGGCACACTTCACCAGCATGGCTACCACAGCATTCTGCAGCGATATGCCATCCCCTCTGGTTTGCACTTAGTGGGACTATCATTTGGTTTTCAATAGGACAATGACCCAACACACCTCCAGGCTGTGTAGGGGCTATTTTACCAAGAAGGAGAGTGATGGAGTGCTGCATCAGATGACCTGGACTCCACAATCACCCAACCTCAACCCAATTGAGATGTTTGGGATGAGTTGGAGCCAACAAGTGCTCAGCATATGTGGGAACTCCTTCAAAACTCATGGAAAAGCATTCCAGGTGAAGCTGGTTGAGAGAATGCCAAGAGTGTGCAAAGCAATCATCAAGGCAAAGGGTGGCTACTTTGAAGAATCTCAAAAATAAAATATATTTTGATTTGTTTAACACTTTTTTGGTTACTACATGATTCCATATGTGTTATTTCATAGTTTTGAACCCTTGACTGGTACTGTATATATATAATTATTGTATTTTTTGTTAAAGTATCAGTGTTTACCCCACCTAATAGGTGGCGGCAATACACCTTTTTGGATGTAGTCTGTAAACCTTAACATAGAAGAAACGCATGGATGACAATCTCAAGTTAAATCTTTCTTCAAAATGTCGAAACCACGGATGTTGAATGTATTTATAGCCAAGCGATTAATATCTGCAGCCGTTAACATATTTGGGATAGAGGCCAGAGCTGCCAACTCTCACGCTTTCGCCATGTGACACACGTTTTTGCCTGTTTTCACACGCACTCACGCCACACATCCAATTTCTCACGCAACAAAAATCGGCCGAGACTCGTTCGTTCCTTTTTTTCAAACTCCCCGACGGTAGATGGCGCTGATGAGCGCCACTGAACCATATGCGCTGCACCCCGAAGTTAGTGACAGAAGAAGAGATACTATTGCCGCGAAAGACAACAGAAGAAGAAACGGTCACTACCTCAAGAAGTCTGATAAGAAGCTGAGCTGAGACTAGGTATGTAACAACTAAATGTCGTCCAATTGAGTACTCACTCTCTTAAACTTTAAAAACTTGAAGCTGTGTTGTGTTTCCTGACAAGTGCTGTGGATTATGCACTTAAGAAGCTGCCACTGGAAGAGCCACTGATCAAGCACGCACAATTTGTAGATGTACGGCAGAGGGCTGAAAGTGACATCGAAGATGTCCTGTACTTTGTTGAAAGGTTAGTTTTTTTCTCTCTAATTATTGACTATAATCTTAGCTAAAATACCCTGTGTTTTATGATGAGGTGTGTTCACTCCTAAACTGCACATGAGATATTCTTATGTGGCTTCTCCTCAAAGATGTGTATGAACTGCTGCTGGTTGATGACTATATACCTAAAACGTAACAACTTGTAACTACTTTCATAAATATGTTTCCCCATCTCCTCCCATACCATGGGCCAGAGGAGCATGACCTTCTGGGTGAGGAGTTTCTAAATTATCAGACCATGCCAATGATATCCCTGCAGGACGAAAC